TACATACATTTATGCAGATTCTTCATTATTTAATTTCTTAGTAGTTGTGTTTCTGATATTTAGAACAAACAGGAAAGTCAGAAATTAAAATTATAGTTTGAACAAACAAAGAAATCTTTCCCTTAAAATATATTTTGAAACAATAGTTATTTATTTTGATGCAAAACCTTAAAATGTTAATCTTCTTCTATGCTAAATTTTGGATAAACAGTATCAATATGCATCTTCTCCTAAAAACATGCTACTATTATGTTAACAATGAAAGGATGAATATCATGCTAAATAAAAATTTTAAATTGACACAATACTGCTTTTTCTCTCTCCTCTCCCCTAAAAGTTTCAGGAATAAATCATCACATAGATATTTTTCTCTTCTCTAAAAATATATATCAATATAAATAGATGACATAGTACCATCTATTGCAGGCAACAAACAAAAAATGTAATATAAGAATACAGCACAAAAGCTAAAGATATACAGTCTGAAAAAGTACTACACTGGCTTCGGTCTTTCACTTTTGCACATTATAGTATAAAAATTATTCACATTTTTAAAAAGAAATTATACCCATTTTTATGCTGATTTTTATTCACAGAGTACAACATATACAGGGTTCTTATATTTATATCTTGTACTTTTGCACTTATACAGTAAACTCTCAATACTTTAAATCGATATGACTTGGATTTTTACTTGTCTTAAAATTTTCCTTAAATTCTGAATTTTTAAAGAAATGGGTAACTGGGAATATTTATTGTCTTGCATATTTCTTCTCTAACTAACTTCGAATTCCAAAAGCATTCAGTTTTTATTTTAATACATAAAATTACACTTTGTTTTTAATCAATGCATACTACTACAAAATAAAAGCAACTTTTTGAACAATAAAAAAGCCTGGTTTATACCAGACTAGTAAGCCTAATTCTCTAACAAATCAAATAAGAAAACATGTGAAACTCACAATGGCATGACATATAAGAAGTAGAGAATAAATCCAACTTTAAAATTGTATATGCATTTTGTGACTTGTGTATAAGATTAAACATAAAATAAGATTAAATGATAAATAAATAATATTAATTAAAGATTAAAGGAAGCTGGATAAAAAATATAACTCAAACTTTGTCCAACAATGAGCAGCACAAATAAAGTTAAGAAAACTTCACTGTACACCTTTCAGGTAAAACCACTGTTAGACATTAATGTAAATATACTATACAAGCAGAGTATTTCTGAATGGTAAACATTTCCTTAGCTTTAACTAAAATGTGATAATAAACTGCGATACAATGAGTGCATGGACACTCACTTTTCCTGGAGATAGCAAAAAGATTTGCCCATGCTTTCACGTTGCGGAAGGAAAAAGGAGAACCTCTTCGATCTCGATCAGCTGACTGTGCCCATAGCACACACATTTGCCTTTTTTAATGTAAGATATTTGACAGTAACTCTATAGTACCATTTCTTAAAAATTAAGATAATTAGGTACCAACAGAAGGCCGAACTCCACTTTACAAATAAAAAAGTTTCTAAGAAATTTGTGTAAATTGCATGTAACAAAAATTACTATTTGCTGATACTAATCTTCTTGACTACTTTGAAATTAAACATAAAAAGGAAACTTCACATTTTCGAAGGAAATTTTTTAGAATAAAATACTGGCTCACACATGGTAGTAAAAATATTTGATAAGAGTGATGAAAGTTTCTTCATGCCTTTAGTTAAGATATTTGAATATGGCAAAACACATGAGGGCTATCTGCCAAAGCCCATGGAGAGAGATGCCTTTGAGGTAGATTTTCTAAAAGAAACTGGCACATATAAATGTTAAACATGGAGAAAACTACAGAAACCATCCATGCAGCCAGCCCATTTGCCTGGGATTGTACTTTCTCTATCCAGTGGTCTTAACCACTCAGCCACTTGTGATGCCTTTTTCATGTCTTTGCCATGATGTATTAACAGTAATGAAACCGGTAGTGATGATACCAATGCAGACAAAGTTTCAACAATGACAAAATACTTCAAATTACCCATGAACTATAGTTTAAAAATATGTTTACCTAGCTTTGTTATCAATGCCATATTCAAAATTGCAAAAATACATGTCAGTTGAGATGTTTCATTTATTAAATTCAATAATAAGGATATTTTACCTTTGTTAAGATTTTTTTTGGCTATACACAATTATTAATACTTACATAACTTTTAATAACAAATAGAAACACTTCCTTAAATAAAATATTCATAGATTTTTGTTTACATATTAAAACACATAAGTGACATATACCATTTCAAACAGGTAGAGGAAGATGACTTATGTATTTAATATTTAATAAAGAACCTTATGCCATTCTTCATAAAACCTACATTTTAATTCATAGATTATTTTCATGATCTAAAAAACTGTAAGATATCAAGCATTTACTGTATGTTACCATATCCTCACATGTATAAGCTGCACTTTTTCACAAGAAAGCAGATGAAAAATTTAAGGTGTGGTTTATACACATGAATGATTATAAATAAGTATATACAAACATGTAAGCAACAGAGCAGTACATATTTAATGACTGAATATAAAATCCATTGTTGTTGGGTGAATATTACATACAATTACACATGTTTAATTGTTGTTATAGGCCATTCGAAGGAATATGTTCAGACAAATGATTTAGCTATGATGTACATTTTAAACTGTGAGCTTTCAGATTCTCTGAGGAAATTGGTAAATGAGCTGTAGTACGCAACTTTAACATGCATGAATTCAACATGTGATAGTAGAAAAAGCAGAAGAATAAACTTAAAAAAACAAGCAGGAAAAGGAAAGTATTTCATGGAAAAATAACCACAGTTGGAAGATAATGTTTTATTATACTTGACTGAGAAAATAAATTATGGTTATGCTGTAACTATTGATATGATAAGCTTCCAACCTTGTGAAGAAACTGGTTGGATAGAGATAAGCTATGATTTTTGAGCAAGTGCAGAATGGTGTGCATGTTTCATGCATAGGAATGGCTTGTCACTAAGTCGTAGAACAACAGTTGCACAATGTCTCCTGGCAGACTTCGACAACAAAATTTAATTTCAGAGATACATTACTCACAAGCAACAAGGTAATGAATATATGTTGTCTGAACACCCATTTACTGGGACACGTCTATGTATAGAGCACCAAAAGGATCACATGCAGTTCAAATCAAGACTGCAGGTTGTGAGAAGTAGCGATGTATGATTATGTTAGCTGTTATGGCTGGCAGAAAACTGCCACTGTACATTGCATTAAACTGAAACACTATAGCCTAAGACATATTGAAGTATATATGAATTTCCAGGTATTGTTATGCATGCATAAGAAAAGAGTTGGATGCAAGAGGATCTCATATTGGACTGGCTAGAAACAGTTTAGAATAAAAGATCCAGTGGTTTGCAGAAACCTAAGAGCTTGTTAGTTTGGGGCAGCTTTTGATGTCACTAAATCTTCAAGTGAAGGAGAAATTAAATGAATTAGAAACTGATGTAGCTGTGGTTTCCGAAGGCCTAACGTCTATGCTCCAGCCTCTTGATAATACAGTTAATCACTACTATAAAAGTTTATTCTGTAGACTTAATAATAATTGAATAAGCATAGGAAACCATTATCTTATACCAAAAGGAAAAATCAAACATCCCAAGTGTTCAGTGTGTGCCTGAATAAGATTCTGGTAGCCTGGGAAGGTATCAAGCTTGAAACAGTAATTAAAGGATATTTGAAGTGCGGAATATCCTATGATCTAGATATCTCTAAGAATGATATGCTGTGGGACACCAGTACTAGCAGCAGTAGTACAGATAGTGTAGTCAAGAACTCTAGTGGTACTCACAGTGACGGTGAATAAGAGGTACTAAGCACAAAAATATGATTCTTTTGACAAATAATAAAAATTTTGTCTTACTGTGTGGTGAGCACTGTTTTTATTTTAGTAGCTTTCACACCCTTAAAAAAAAAAAAAAAAAAAAAAAAAAAAAAAATTGTAGATGGTAGACAAGCTATCCTCAACTTAATCTCAAGAAATACTTTTTTTTCAAAACTAAAAGTAAAAATTAAAGGTGAAGACTTACACATGTATACGGCTTACACACATGAAAATATGGTATTCTATTACACACATAAATCTAATGTATAATTAGAGCACAGATTTAGTAATGTTTTGAAAGCAAAAGTTTACTTTGCAAAAAGCATAATATTTACAGCACATAAAATGACTAGTATAAAAAAAAAGTAAGAGGAAATATTTGAAAGTTTCAGAATTATTCTTATGATATATAAATTAAAATTTTCTAATACTGAAAGCTGCTGGTATATAAAAATTATCACAGAATTTATTATTATAAATGCAATAAAGTATTATTTACAAAATTAAAATATATGAAGAGATACAGAATAGCAATAAAAGTAAATTTGTTACAAAAACAAGCAAAGTAAATAAATATTTATTCTCTTATTAATATCATATAAAAACTAGTCATTGTATATGTACGTGTCACAGTTTGAAACTAAATTTTAGTTAGTGTCTTATGGTCCAAAACATCCTTTATCAATCATATATTTATATAAACTGCAACAAATTTGAGAACTTATTTGTTTTACTGTATTTTTTTAAGTCAAAAAGTAATTTTCTTTAGTACAAATATAGATTTTTAGTCTTTTAAACAATTTCAATTGCAAATTCTATTTCATATGAAATAAAATTTTTTACAACATGCTGAAACTTTCAGTTGAACTGAATTTGCTGAGATGTTTAAAATAAATGTATGATTTTACTTTACATTCAAGATTTATTCTACTTAATTTGAATTTTGATATAATTATAATATGAATATTACTTTCATATCTAATTTTTAGATTTATTATCATAATTCATAATAATTACATTTTTTATATACAAATAAAGATAATGAATGATTTTGAAAATAAAAAAATAAATTTTCTTAATGTATTGATATTTATCTTTTGTTTTCTATATTCATCATTCTGGAAGTACAGCATTAAAATGATAACACTAATTGCTTATTAATTTTAGGAAATTTCATCAGCTAACATAATTTATCAATTACTTACTTGAAATATAATTCTATTATTTAATCAACTATCAAATTTTCTAACTTATTAATTGTAAATTAAGAACAACTGTATATCACCTATGTATACTAACTTTTAGAAAAAAGCTTTAATATGACAGAGTTCTGTAGCAATTACTGCATTCCTTGATGCTACATTTTTCAAGTTTGTATACATAAGCACATATGTAAAAAAAGACATTATATTTTTGAAATCAATTTCTTCTGAAGTAATTTGCATAAACAAAATAAATATTTAAAAACTTAAACTCATCGAGCAAAATTTAGAGTGAAGCGATCATTAAACTCTCCTAATAAACATTATAATATTTAACACAGATAAATCAAATTCTTTTCCTTTTTACAGATCTCAAAGTGCACATTTCACAGGAATGATATCGAATAGTTGGTTGGGTTGCTTAACACATTTCGCTTTCATTACAACTTTTTATATATAAAACACAAACAAAATAATTTTACCAGAAACAGTTACACATTATATTGTTAACCTTTAACTGTTCAAAAATAAGAGAAAAATCTTATTTTGAACTTTTAAATAAATATGTAAATTTTACTGAATAAACAATTCTTTATATATGGAATGGTAATATCAAATACAAAATTAATATACTTTTCCTGATGAAATTCAAATTCAAATTATGAATTTTTTTAATATTACACATTTAAAATAATGTAGAAATAAATTTATTTCAAATAGATTCAGCAATTCAAATTCTACGTTATGAATATTTTAGACGCAAATTTTTCCATAAACATCTGATTTAAGGTGTTTTCAGAATAATCTACTTTTATGATTTTGGAAATACCTATTCATGAAATGCTCAGAAAAAGGTAAAACTAAATGAGAAGAGGTTTTCTCTTCCTTAATTTAAATATTTGTAGCTTAAAATGAAAACTACAGATACACTCAATTTATTACTCTCATTTCCCAATATGTAAAACATTACAAAATGTCTTAAGACATTTATGTTACATATGAAAAACATTCATGCTAAGATAAGAGTAATGCATACTCTATTTAAAAATAGTATGTTAAATCTCAAAGGAAGAAATAATTTACAAAATAAATTATGCAAAGATTATATAAATATATAATTTCAAAACCTAAGCATACACTACTCTTTTTATCACAACAAATGGAATAATAATTTAATAGATAAACAGGTACCATATAATTACTAACGGACAGCATAATTTGTAAAACAAGTTCAAGAAAAAACAAAGGAGGTAAGAGAAAAATTTTGGTAAAATTTGAAAACATTTCAGCTAAAATATAATCTGTTGAAAATGTATTTCTATGTTACATAAAGAAAAAAATTACAGGCATGAAAAGAATAAACAATTACATGTTTCTAAAACAGACAGTAATAACTTTTTAAAATATTTCATTCAATAATTTGCCAAAGTCATCTAGCTTTTAGTTTTACTAAACAGGTGAGTTTAAGTGAAACAAGTGATCAACCTACAAAACCTGCAGGATACAAATTTTTTATACTTCATTTCTATATATTTAGTAACGCAATATATAAATATACTACAAAAAATAATAGACATAACTGATTACAAGCTCACAAAGCTGTAGATGTAACTGGATTTATTCCATGGACTAGCAGAGTTGGAGGTAAATTAATAGTTAATGCATCTAATTGCTGTAGATACTGCAACTGATCATTAGGAGTTTGCGGTGGTGGAGGAAGATAAATAAAAATCACTGAAGTCTGTTGACTGTGCTGTTTTATCATAGTATTCACACCTGAAATATACCCCATATTCACTTGACCTATATCAGAATCATCAACTGAGTCCAATAATGCTGTTACATGATCCCATAAAATAATACTTATACTAGCATTGACTCTTAGTAGACGTAACATATTTTCCCATTGCTGTTGGTGGTATAAAGAATTTTCTGAATGTGCACTTACACACATGAAAACTCTAATTACTGTGCAAGACTTCCATCCACCAACCATATTCAAAATACAAGCAAGTTGCATAATGAACTGCCAGCAATTATCAATGCAAGTTGCTGACTTTGGATTAAAAAAGTTGATGGGCCAAAGATCCAAATATTTTCTCTTTCCTTTCCTCATTAAACCCTTTTTATCCAATTTATGAAAATGTCGAGCAAGACATACATTCTTTTGGAGGCAGAATATACCATCCCATATTATCTTTACATATTCCTCTGCTGAAAGTGATCGCCCATTAGACTTTTCCCGAAGTTCCAAGAAAACTTGATCCTTCAAGATAACCCTTTGGATATCACTGAATGCAGAATCTTTCTCAAAGAAATCTTCAGGCTCAACTTCATCATAGAAGCCTAAAAGAACAGTATTTGGCTTCATGGCTCCAAGACCTGAAATTCTTGCTAAGTGATGGAAACCTTCTCTTACTGTTGGAGATAATGTTACTTCAACAAAAGCTTTAATCTAAAATAATAATAATGATGATAAAATGATTTAAAACATTTAAATCTGTAAAGATTAAACAGTTAATGAGTAGAAATTAAAAAATGGTAGGTTATTTTATTAATGTAATAAATGAAATAATATATAACCAATACAAAAAGTAACTCAACATTGCATAATCAAAAATCTAAAAAAGTACTGCTTGAATTTTTTTCAATAACTTTTGGAACAAATAAAGAAAACATCATAGTTAAAAAGGTATTAAAGTGGTCAGTCAGATTTGTTAAAAAATGTATTAAAAAGTTTTTTTTTTTTTTTTTTTTTTTTTAAATGGTCAGACACTTGCTTCTTAAATACCCACATGGGATTGCCAAACCTATCAGCCATTTAACTGTATCATAATTGAGAGTATTACCCTAGATGCATAAAAAAGGGTGATTGACATTACACCCATGAAGAGGGAGCAAAGACAACACATAAATATTCAAGCTTTATGAAGAAATCAAATCTACATCATTGGCTTTAGGCAAGAATTCAGCCTTGGCTAACTACTACATCATCCAGGGCAACAACCTCAAGACATTAAGGGAATAAATGCATAGACATATCTCATTAGTGAAATGTTTTAACAGTTTAAAACAGTGATTAGAAACATAATTTTCTCCAATGCTGTTTGGAAAATTGTAATATATATGAATAGCTATACCACCATATGTTAAATGATGAATGACTTCATTCAACCCCTTCTACTTAGCATTTTGCAATATTTCAGGAGCAAAACTTTGATTTTTCTGAATCAAAATCACACTCAAGTACATATAATTGTTTTCGTTTCCATTTTCTGTCCATAAATTATGATATAAAACAAAGAATTCGAGTAAAGAAATTTAAAAAATGACCTTCAGTACTTTCCTTATAAGTGGCCAATTTTACTAAGTTCCAAGCAAAATGAGCTAGCAGAATGAGAATTTTATTTGTTTCTGCCAAAGAGGGCAGAGACAGTTCCTGCTAACATTTGGTAGCCATGAGGAGTCTTTGCTTTCCGTCATCTGTCACCCGCCACGCGCGATGCAAATATTAGAGCAAATTCCTTCATGAAATTATCTATGAAAGTACTCATTCTAAAGCAGAAAACCCTCTTATTTTTTTGTTACCTATATTCTGGCACTTTTGCCAAAGCTAATCAATGCATGAGTTATTAGCAGTTACAGCATGCTTGACAATTGCAAATTATTCATCTCTTATATTATTAGATTATAATCTTATATTTTTCTGGCATATCAACAGATTTTAATGTTACATGTAGGGGGAGGGAATTCAAACAGAAAGTTCAATAGCTCCGATCCATAACATTAAGAACTTAAATTAACCCATGATATATTACATAATATGATGCTATAACATTGATGAAAAATTATTAGTGAAAATTATAGAATATCTTTCAAGGGAATATTAATTGTAAAACTGCATGAACTATTATAAAAAAATGCTCTTATGTGATCATCTGGTACTTTGAATTCATAAATTTTCACACGTTAAAAAATGTAAGTATTACAGAAGTAAACCTAAATACTTACTTTTAGCTTATCCAAAAGTGTCAACCATAATGGATATTCTTCAGCCACAGGATCTGATAAGAGATTATCACTGATTACTCCAATCTTCACATGCCCAATCACATATAAGCCACTCTTTTTTAAATCATTAGCAAATAATATCAGTGGCAAACATGATCGGGGATTAGCAACTAAAAGTAAGAATTGAGGTCTCCAAAATTTTACGTGATCTTTTCGACTATCCAAAAGCAGCAGATACTTTCGTACCTAAATAAATAACAGAAAATATATTATTAAAATATACACAAATAATATGCACATTCATATTTTATTATTATCTTGACATTAATATACACACTTTTTGGAAGTATTTTTTCAGACTTTCATTAATATGAAGAACAATAAACAATGATACGACTGTACTGATACAACATAAAGGTCCATTAAAATTTATATACAGTAACACAAACAAAAAATTAATTTTTTATTACAGTGGTAAATAGAAAATTCCCACATATTCTAAATAACTGAACTGAATTAAAAGAATTTAATTTAGAAAAAAAGAGGAATGCAAAATTTTAGTAAACATTAGTTATTTTCCTAAATAAGTCATGCCTGCATTTAGAAAATGTTTCTTCTTAAAAAAGTTGAATTAAATATTTTCTATTGTGAGTGAAAAACAATTCCTTGGAGTTCAATTTTATGCAAATTGCTCTGCTAGTTCATTTATTTAATTTTTTAAAATAAAATTCTGAAATCTATAAAAATCTTTTGGATCCCTCCATATATAAGATAAAATAATTATATAATTGTGTTAATAATAACCATCTTAATGTAAAAAATTGCTGCTCAATCAGTATTAACAACACAAAAGCAAATAAAGGTAATTTTTAACACTATTTAGGAAAGCATAAAGAATGCAAAATAAAAATTAGAAGGGAGGAATCTAAAGAAGTTAATTAAACTATTTGGATTCATTATCACGTAGACAAATGTTCATACCTGATTTATCAATGATGTGAATATAACAAAAATTTAAATGGAATTATTTAAAAAAAAATCTAAAGAATGCATGATAATCTTTGCATTTAAATAGAAGAGAAATATAAAAGGTATGTTACCTGATGAAATATTAAAGCTTGACTAATAGATCCCCATCGTACAGGAAGAGATCTCAGATGTAAAATTATAACAAGCAACAAACACATAATTATGGATATTGCAGCATACAGAGGGCTTATTACAAACATCATAGTCATACATCCTAAAATGCCTATCACAGTTGTGTGCCAAGAGAAATACTTGAAAGATGGCCTAAATGATACAAGAAAACAATCTTAAAATTTATTAAACTAAAAGTACTTTGTTTTAGAAGGCACAAATAGATAACTTTAATAGATGTTTAAATGACATCATCACAAATTATCTATCTATCTATCTATATATATATAACGATAACAGGTGAAGATAATGTTATATATATAATAATAAGTTGAATATTCAATTGCATAAGCTATTGAGTATCATATTTGCTCTTCTCTATTTGCAGTTCATTATACAGTAAAAAGTCTGATCTGGAACTGCCAGGACTTCGGTGATTCTGGATTTCATCAGTTTAAAAGTAGTAATATGACATCTAGGCACGGCACCATTGAAGTTTCACTTATTTTAAACCTTTTCTTGGGAGGTGGGGCACATATGTTCTACTTAAACAATAAATAAGACTAAAAAAATAATTTTAGTATGGAGATTTAAATTTTGCTACTTAATGTGGAATAAGAAAGGCAAACGCTGTTTATTTGTTCTTCTGTTCCTTGATGATTTGTCAGACAGAAAAATGCTAACCATTTCTCTCCAATCATCTAAGGGTCAAACATGTGATCCTTGTTAACATTGATACAATGCTAATTAATGTATTTTCATTGGCAGCAATGTGACTCCCTAGTCAGCAGGTGTTTGAAAATGACAGGCAGGAATCTCAGTTTGTCAGAAGAAAAATTACAGTTATGGCATGCTTCCTTCATTTTGTAGAGTATTATATTTCCCAGCCCTAGACTTTGTAAGGGGTGGGAGAAATTTAGTTTTTTAAAATTTTATTAATTTTTTTGGTTAGGATATCAGATCATTTCGGATATTGGATATCTGGACTTTGAACTTCGTACGTTATTACTTTACAGGTTAAAATATAAATGGCAATGCACAAAAGTACATAGTAAGAGTATTTACGGAGCACACTATCTCAAGTGATAAATATGAAGTATTGGAAAGGTATTAAAACTGCTGCAATAAAGTTGGAACAAAATCACTAAGAAAAACACAATGTCACTCAAAGCCTTGAAATTTCACTCTAATGAGGTATCGTTACAATACTTCCAAAATTAAGTGCATTCTTATATTGGAAACCATGTAATCTACCACTTTTATTTATTTATCACTTCTTTTTTTTTAAATCCAGCATTTTATCGCATGTTTGAATATGAAAGCTACTGAATTTTTTTTTTAAATTTCAAGAAGCTTCTGTTATTGTGTTATGAAACTACTCAAATTGGCTAAAGCAAAGAATAAGGGCCACACCAAATTTGACATCTGATAGTCATTTATCCTGAGAACCCTATTTATTTTGTTATTGCATAATGATTTTATTTTGGCAACTTTTTTTTTTTATAACTGAAATTAATATAATTTAACAGTTATACAACACTAATGTACAATCTATACAATGTACACAACACCAAACTTGTGCATTTCTGTTTTTTTTTTTTTTTTTTAAACATTAAAACAGATCACTATGCGCATGAGGAGAACAACAGTAAAGTATCATACAACACATTGCTGGCCATTAAAATTGTAACACCATGAAAAAGGAAATACAAAAAAGATATCTATTGTAAGTAAACAGGATGGCATGAAGATAAAATGATTAAATTTGTAAGCAGTTGGTAGGTTTATAGGCATGTGAAATTAGTAGAAACAGCTGCTATCGTTGGCAGCTAAAATGACCCTTACCCGGTTAGGCACACAGTGGAACTACGCTTGAATGATAGAGATGGGCAACTAATTCTTTGCTGCTTCAAGGTCTGTGCCACTTCTTCAACTGTATTAGCTGGAGAGGGGTGGGGAGGCAGTCTCCCAGCAGCCTATGACCAGATGTTGTCATTGGGTGACAGATCTAGAGACTGTGCAGGCCAGAGAAGCAATCGAATACCCTGTGTATCGAGGAAGGTCAGAACACGATGTGCGACATGTGGTCTAGCATTATCTTGTTGGAAGATGGCATTTGGCAGGCCTCGAAAATACGACACAGTCACTGTATGTAAGACGTCAGAAATGAACAAATCTGCATTCAAATTACCATCGATCTGAACTAGAGATGTGTGTGTCGTGTACCCAATGGTTGCCCAAACCATCACACGTGCTGATATTGAATCAAACGTGCTGATATTGAATGCAAGCAGGCAATATGCGGTCTCCTCAGAGCTCTCCAAACATGTATACGGCCATCAGATTACTGCATGCAGAACTGGGACTCATTTGAAAAGGCAACACTGTGCCACTCCTGTATCCAGCTTTATCATCTGCCGCATCAAAGTCAGCATATGTCTCAATGCTGTATTGTCATGGGATGCCAAAATAATGGTCACCTGTTGATAGTCCACGGTGCTGCAAACGTCGATGAACCTTAAGACCTGATACTGGGTGTGCTGCAAACATGCCCATTTCCTGACTAATGGTTTGTGATGTGGTCGAACGGTTTTGCAGGGCTGACCTTACAATATGTCTGTCCTCTCTGGCTTCAGTCATGGGAGGGTATTGAGATCCTGCATGCCATTCAGTATGACCCTCAGCAATTCATTGATTCCATATTCGCATGACAGTGGTTGGATACAACAACCTTCGATGTAGACTGCACCAAAAAAAAGAGGGAGGGACAGTTCTATATCTCTTGTTCTACTGGGCCGATTGAGGATATTTAAAATGCATTTTTCATGTCTCGAAAGCACAAATTAGGATACATATTAGATTTATGTATAGCACTGTTCTAACATAAGCATTCTGACAAAAAATCAGACTTTTCTGAAATGACATGCCAATTTTTTTTTCATATTTCAATTCTACAACTCAAATTATGCCAGATTGCCAAGTTTTGTAAAAATCACATGAGTATTTTTAAAAAATTAGCTCTCAAAATTTTAGTTCTTCCATGTTAATTGAATTTGGTATATATTTATTAAACTTTTTTTTATTCTTCCTTTCACATTTAAAAATTTAGTTTCGTTCCAAATAAAATTCACTGTTTTGTATGATTTATTTTTAAAATTTGTATTTAAAAATAATTTTCAAAAATTTTTCGACTTTTGAATTATAACTTATAAAACTTTTAGCATCATCTTTAAGTAGATCCTATTTATAAGCATACCTACAAAAAATTTCCTAAGATATATGTGAATTTACATTTTGGTGCATTTTGAAATTTGGCATATTTATTATAAGCGATAATAACACCAAATGTGGTTTACGCACTTCGTTAAAATTATTTGAGAGTATGAATGACTTTTCCCCCTTCCTGATGCTTTTGAGACATGAAAAACGCAAGTTGAATTTTGTCAGACGGTCCAGTAGAACGGGAGATATATAACTGTCCCCCCTTTTTTTGGTGTGTGCAGTGGACATGATCTCTGAACCAATGTACATCAATGAGTTTTCCAACTTCATTCAAATTTCCTGATTGAATTGTCAGTCAGAGCTACATTCAAGGTTTTTGCCATGATGGAAATTTTCGCTATTCAGTGATAGAAGCACTATCCAGAGTTTTAAATATCATTATAGAAAGCAGATGGTTTTAAGCATTTTGGAAAAGTATGTCAAACACATTGATTATAACATTTCATTTCTTAACCAAATGCTAACATTAGAAAAGTCTTAGTAACTTCTTACAGACTCATCAATCCTCTGAAAATGTTTTGGTATGTTGATCTGCAAACAGTATTGAAGAAGATAAAAATGAGGATTTGGCTCTCACTAAGTGAGTAAAAAAAAATCGTTTTAATATTTTTGAAATATGACACGAAATTTTTCACTGATGCTGTGATAATGTTGTTGCATGCAAAGATCCAAGTGATGAAGATATTGAGACAGAAATTAAAATGAGGAATGCTGACATCAAAGATTCTTCTGATGTTGATGAAAATGACCTATCAGTATACCAAGGATGTGATGCATTTCATTAAAAGTTTTGGAACTTACGGAAGTTTACGGTCCCCTTGGCACCTTGGTGAAAAAGTTAAGTTTGGTGCGGCCATATTTCTACGATTCCTTTTAATATGTTGTCAAACGCATTTTGTCGTCTCAATGCCTTTCTCCACATAAATTATGCTACGTATGATTGAAGAATGATGGCGAACAGTGCCACTTTGTTTATTTCGCCACTTCACAGAACCCAAGAGTCTTTCGATTTTTTGCGCGTATACGCCTGTAGTTGGATCCACAAAATAGTATATATAGTTTATAGTCATATGATGATAACCTGCTTTTTTAAGATCCTCAGTTTTATAAGCATGCTAACTGTCTGAATAAATTATGGATCCCTTCTATGTATTCAACTATCTTGCAACATCAGCATACTTGCATCTCTGTTCACTAACTGAGCTACAAAACATTACTCACTTTCAGGGCATATCCACTGCTGGGCTAGAATCCTCTCTTCATTGTTTTTCTGTCGAACAAAGAGGCTTTCATTGATTTCTACTATTTTCTCAAAATCGTGCTGTCTGAAGGAATCTGAACAACATGCTACTCTCACAAAATTATTGTTCCAGACAATAATTTTTTTATCGCTGATATTTAGTTGCTTTTCATATCATGAAGTGAGCTCTTCAGCCAAACAGCAAATAAATTCCAGTATTGTTGCAAATGGAATTCTCGATCCACAAAACCAATTATCAGATCGAATGCCCATATTAAGTTTGCAATTCTTCACATTGTACTGCCATATATTTGCATAGATGTAGACATTTATTTTGTGACTATTTTCACAGGTTTGATTATGAGACAAAATACCTCTTTCCTGAAAGAAAACTACAGAATCTTTTTCATTCCTAGGTAAACTGCAACTAGTAAACATTTTTGGTACAGAAAATATTAAAACGAGAAGCAATTAAAAATTCACAATTAAATAACATGTGGCTCAAAGAAATTGCAACAATTCCGAATTCAGTAAATAACATGATTTAACAAAACTGCAACAGTTCACAGAATTAATGATCTGTCTACGGTTTCCAACTATCACTGGCAATTTCCCACAGGAACTATAAACATCTGTAATACCAAAGGTTTTTATTCACATAAATTGTAGAATCTTTTCAATTTTTGGACTAAAATACGGATAAAAGTTTCCAGCAATCTGCATCCTGCCAGCGAAAAATTAGATTATTTTTGTACTCAAAAGTTTAGTAAAAGTTAAGATAAATTCCTTATTATTTTTTGTTTTTCTTTTTTTTATATTTACATGGATAAATGAATTATTTACAGTTATAAATGTGTAATTTGAGGGAAGGATTATAACCAGGATACTTACGCTAAGTAATTTATCATGCAAAATTAACATATACTGAAATCAGAAAAGAATGGCCAACAAATTTAATAACTATGCATAATAATAATTGTAATTAAATCTTTATATTATTTTTTAAAAGTACATTTACTTTTCATTTTTTATAGCAGAAGTTAATCAGTTTTTTGGGTACTCATCATTCAGGTTTCGCACATATTTATGAGATAATCAATTTTTCTTTTTGATCTGGATATAGCGAACCAAACTTTTAAAGTTCTTCACAAAGTGTTTGACTGTACTCATATTTTCAGGAATTTTATAGCTTTTATATGTACATAATGCATTACTTAATGATTTAATTGTTGTATGCTTCTATTGTGCCTAAATTAAAATGTACCTTCTTACAATTTTCTATGCAAGAGTTAAATTAGTAATCTTCATTTCAATGTCTTAGTGCTGCTTTTAAGGACTTAATTTTATTTTAACTGTCACATGTAATCAAAACATAAATTGGCAATACTACACTAATATAAACAAAATTAAAGATTAATCTCAAATTTCTTACCTAAAATTAGGTGCTGATGCTAACTCAAGAGCTAGGCAGGCCAGATTGGTAGAAAAATATGACAAAAGAAAGAATACTGATGTAATTTGTGCTATTGTGTTTAATGATCCAATCAAAAGAATGAGCTGTAATCAAAATCAAATACTACAATAAAAAATTACCAGATCTCATAATATTAATTCATTTTAACATGCATAAAAATAAATTTTCAAATCTTAAAAATAAACAAATAATTTTAGATAAATTCTGAAAAAAGGAAATTTATTTAAGATGAATACGAAATAAGCGTAATCATAAAGAGTACGATAAACCCTTGCCAAACATGAGGGTTATGTCATAAACACAATGCATGTACAGCAAAATCATGATCTGCAAAGTTTATATGGAAAAAAAAAAAAAAAAAAAAAAAAACTATAGTTCAGATTAAGGAAGTATGTATAATTTATACAAACCTAAATATTATTGAAATTAAAAGGGAAAAATGAAACAAATGTTAATTGAAAGGATTTCTTTAACAATTTATTCAACTCTACTCAACTTTTGAAATTTGTCCAATTTTCTTGGCTTTATTTTCAATCAAAAGGAATCCTTTAAATTTGCTGATGACATCTGATTAGAAGTGATGAAAGCAAGGATTCATTATTGATGAAGCCACTTGTTCTTATGCGAATTAAATCACATCTATGCTATGTGTTATGTCGTATGTTGATTTTTTTCCAAAATGCCTTAATTCGTCATGGTTTCTTTTGACTAGTGCTTTATCTGGAGAGATAAAAGTATGCCTAACATAACAGACTTTAATGTTTTTATCATTCCTTGATTCACTAGTTAAATTAAGGAAGTAGCTTTCTGTGAAAGAAATAAAACATATACATTTAGATGCAAAGTTGCAAGGGCTTCAGTACTGTGTCCTGAAGCATTATCGAAAATTAGAGTTTTCAAGTTTTGCTGTCCTAAGTAATGTTTGACATCTTAATGAATGAATTTTCAAACCAATCATTACAACAAGGCTAATACTCCACAGCTTAACCGTATATAATTCAAATTCTCGCATTGGACAAATTAAACAGAGACAGTTAAGATAACACATATATATACAAAACAGTGTTCTGCATGGGTTACTGTATTATTATTATCTTTGACATGTATTTAATACATTATTATCATGTATTAATATACTAAGATACACATTTAATATATTAAATTAGATTAATTTAAAATCAATCAATTTGGACTTTAGTAGTATTTCACAATTACTGAACTTAATAAGAATAGGTTTATGTATTCATTATTCATATTTTTCTTTAAATTAATTTTATACATACTGCCCATTATATTATCCCTCATTACACTGATGCTAGGCTGAGAAGTTCCTCCTGCATAAGAAGTCAAATTTATAAAGTTCCCCCCCAAAAAAACCCTCAAAATTTCAAGATTGATTTTCCCTGATATGAAGTTCCTGCTTATTAGATTCTTTTATAAAGAACTATAACTATTTCCTGCATTTGTGCTGCTTTTCAGCAATTTAGGCATCACTTTAACATAAGTACATTTAATCCATGATAAACAGTTAACATAATAACAGCAAGCAATGATAAATTAAAAATATATAATTCAGCAAATCTTAAAGTAAACATTACAATGTAACTAACAGCTGTTAATATTAAAGGTAAATAATAATTAATTTTATTTTTCAATAATCTCAAATACATTTAAAATTTGCAAAAGCTATAACAGTCTCAGCAAAATATTTTATTTCTACAATAGAAAATAACAATTCCTAAATTCAAAGAAAATATACCTGAACAAGAAACCAAGCTATAAAGACTGCTGCAATAGGATTACCAGCGCGTGTAAATTTTACAACAGGCATTAGTAATGGACCTAAAATAAATTGATATTATTAAGACACATAAGTTTTTTAAATAAAAATTATATAAAAAATTGGAATAACCTAATATACATAAAAATTTAGAAAACAATTCTCACCAAAAATTTCATCTTTAGCTAATGCTTCTAAGACCCTTGAAGATCCAATCAAATTACTTAAAGAAGCAGACAGAGTTGCACAAAATAAACCAATGGCAACCAACGGCGGATATAAATTAATGTACTGCATGTATAAATAGTTATTCTTCATTAAAACGCTAAAAAAAATCATGATTACAATATATTAAATAACTGAAAGAAATCTCAATAAATATATGCATGCACACTTAACACATGGCTTGTTATTAATAATAAAAATAATGAGAAATTAATAATATTTGGGAAAACTTCTTAATTCAAACAATAACTAAATATTAGTTATTTAATTAATTCAATTAATTAATTTAATTATAATTCAGTTAATAGCTTTGTTGGATCAAAGCAAAAAATTAACACCGATAACATAAAATACATCTAAAATGAAAGGATTGAGCAAAAGTATTATGATTTGGGGAGGGCGGAGTCTTATAACATGAAAAGGCAACAATACAGTAGGTGCCGCTTAATGTGATCATGGTTAATCTATTATTCAGGTGCTGTTATCAAATTACTGAAGTCCCATCCATTTGTATAAGAAACCATGGGAAATTTTATTGCTTATTATGATCAAAATATGAAAGAATGAATTCCTTAAACTGAAGTACTTTCAACAAACCAACGATAAAATTTTCGAATAAGGTCAAAGTAGAGCACTGAAATAGCTAAATGATACAGAAATGTCACCATGTAAAAGATGAAGTCACCAAATAGTTTGATTTTGAGTGAAGTTAACAAAGGAACCTACTTTCAAAACTGTCAAATCACCTGGACCAACAAATTTAATGCAGCTGAATTCTACATAAACTTAATTGTTTTGGGCCAAAAACTTTCTTTGCCGTGTTTTGAGCTTTAGATTGTTATAATATTCTGTGTTAGAAAGTAGTCATTTTGTTAACCTCTTCATTTTTATCATGGAGATTAATAGCATACATAATGATCAGGAATAAAGACCCCTTGTTAGATCACTACGACCAGTTCACAAAAATGAGTCAACAGAATGTACCTTTTAAGTTAACTCTTACTCAATCCTTCTTATGGAAGATTTTATAAAATCATGAAGATAATATTTGCAGATCAAAATGAAACTGAAATGTAAACATGAAATGAATGCATAGTGGAAAATATTACAATGTTGAGAAAGCAATAAAGGTTGTGATTTACAAATGCTCATGAAAAAGATGTAGAAGTCAATAGTCCATTTGATGCAGCAGAAAGCTGAAGAGTTAGCTGTAAAAGATTAGGAAATAATAATTAAGAATGAGGATGTTCAAAATAGTTACCAGAATCATTATGAGTAGTTCATACATGAATGTTTAAGCAACAGCTGAAGATAATCTACAACTAATATCTTTTTTCTCCTTAAAATGATATGAAGATATTAATATGTTTCTAGTTATATTTATATTACATTAATTTAACTCCATAGATATTTTGATGAACATTTTCTTCTCATAATTTAATGTTATTATTTGATCAATGTTATCAAAATAGCAGTAGACAAATGTGATCATATTATGTGACACCTACTGTATCACACATTACTGATTTATTAAGATGGTAACTTGGAATAAAAAGCATGCAGTAAGATGTTAAACTCAAGTAATTTAAGAATAGTTCAAGAGAATACTAATTTCATATGAAGTCATGCCTTAAGTTTTAATTACAATACTTTCAAGTTTTAAAAATATATCTTGAAACAAATTACATAAGACTTTTTTTTTTTTTAGTTTACAGAACATATGATGATTCATTCACTATATTTGCTTTCTATATAAACTTTTCACAATACTTCACTTCCTTCGGTCTGTTTAAAGCTGCTCAAATATTTTGGCCTGTTATGAGAGTTAAAAAAAATCATCCACATTTCTGCCATAACACATCTTTAAATCTGTAACACTGTCTTCGACATATGCATGCTTACAGTTGCCTGTGTAAATAAATTCTGCTCTGTATTGCATCATTTTTCTTGCTACTGTAAAAAGGTAAACATGGCCTCTCCTCTGCTGGTATGCATTATGGAGGAATAAAAAGCATAGATCCAATTTCTTTGGTCCAAGGCATGTCAGAGCTTATTAGTAGCCTGGTAAAGCTATTGAATACTAGTAATTCAGATCGGAGTTCAAATCCTGGCAAATGGGCTGACTGCATGGGTGATTTCATTGGTTTCCACATCTGTAATGTGGATACACTGCAGTTTCACTTAAAAAGTCCTCCACAGAACATCCTTCCCTTTGGCAGATACCACTATGTGTGTTGTTGTAATCGAATGAAAAAAAAGGTCTACCATGGACTGAAATTCATTGGAGGCTTTCAACACAACATTCCATTCATCAGAACAGCATTCTTTTACTCTTTACCAAATGCAGAAGTTGTATGAATGGATCAAGAAATTTAAAAGTGATCAGACAAGCACTTGGGTTTCATAAAATCTGTATGAGGTGGGTGCCAAAAAAGCTTACTGCAAAACACAACACCATCAAAACTATTAACCATAACCCTTTTAAGAAACTGGAACACCATCTTTTACAACTCTGTCTCGATTATCACCTCTTTGGAATGCTGAAAGACGCTTTAAGAAGTCACTGATTTTCTATGGAGAAGAAGTGGTGAACAGATGATTGTTTGATTTACCAAAACTTTTTGCAAGCTTGTGGACTGTTGGACCTAGTGCACTGCAAAGGAAGATAACTGCACAGAAAAATTACATACTTGCTTAACCTCAACTTTTGAGTAAAAAAAATTGAAAAAACAATAGTGTGGATAACTTTTGACCCTCCCTCATACATATCAGTTAATAAAGTATTCTTTCAACATGATAAATAATTAGACCAGTGCAGCGTGTATCACAAAAGTAAAATTTACTACTCCTCATTGCTTTTTATTCCCTCTATATGAATATTCTTTGCTGCAGTTGTCTAGGGTTCGTACATATTTCCTTACATGAAAATTAAGGACTTTTAAGGACCATCAAAGAAAAAATTAAGGACCTATCAGCAAACAAAAAAACAAATAGAATAAAGCAATTATCCATACAAACTGACTTCATGCTTGTAATTTCACTTTAAGAAACTAACAGAAGTGTGTATTATGCACTATTATTAAATTCACTTTAATACTTACCATAAAACAATTTTGAAAATTAAACTAACTCCCTACAAGTTATGAAGTAGATAACATTAAATTAGGAACATAATTTCTTTAAAAACATGTATAAGTGTATTTTACACTAATAACACTCACTATTTTAGAGATTTACATGATTATTATTAACTTATTTGATATTTATTTACCGTAATTTCCGGAAGAAAGGCCGCATCAGCGTAAATGCCGCACTTGAGAAAAATGGCAGGAAAAAAATTAAAATTACACAGAAACGCCGCAATAGATTGCGCGTGACATCGTCGTGGGCCGTATAGATGCAAAAACTCAACCTAAGTCCTGATATATGACATACCAGTTAAGAAAAATGCATGAAATGAAACCATAACTCAAAAATAAATTAAAGGTAAGAAATGTATAGCTTTCTGTGCCGTTTAGAGACATTTTCAAAAATTTTCCGCTCCCTTCTTACTTAAAAACTATCCAACAAGTACTTGTACCCAAACTGATGGGATCTGTATTTGGCAGAATGCCAAGAAAAATCCATTCATGCTGAAGGGTAAATATGTCAGAGTTCGTTATTGCGAGGCAGGTGGAGTCGTGTCTGCCTTTGAAAAAAATTGCAGAAAAGGCAGGGGTGGGGAGAGGATGGGTCCTGGAAGATTCATTGAATAGCAGAGAAGAGAGACTATTCAAACTGATGAGAATGTTGATTTGAAAGGGGGAAGAATGTTATTGTTCTGAGATCTCATTTAGGGTGAATAAGGCATGTAGGTCCGTTCAAGGGAAAGAATGTAAACAAAATAACGTTCACAAAAGCAACTGAGTGGTCTTTTGTGTGGGAATAGATAGAACCAGTCAACTACTATTATAATCTCAATGTAAGATATTTTGTCGAATTGCAGATTAAAATAACTGATTTGTAAACATACAATTTATTTCCTTGGTTTTTTGAAAGATACTAGAATAATAAACTGTACAATAAAAGATACAAAACATTTGTGCTTTTTTTTTTAAATCTGAAATCTTTTCAGCTATTTTAACATCTAATTTATTTATGTCTATTTCCTTTTCCTTTTCTTTAACTATTCTTCTAAGTTCATTTGCTTTGATAAACAAATCAATGTTCATGCTGGTCTCAGCTTCATCTGCTAAAGCATCTACTTCTTCATTAATATCTTTAATGTCCCTTTGAAGAAAATTTTTTCTTCTGCTTCATATATCAATCAATTTCTTCCTCAATGATATTTCTTTTCCTCTTTGAATTTTCAGATTTAGTTAAAGATTTTTGTTCTTCTAAATACTGCATATATTTAGACCTTGCAGAAGCTGCTGCTGATCTCATTTCTTTATTAATTTCGATATTAAGAACAACCTCCAGAAAATTTTATGTAATCAAATACTGTGCGTTGAAAAATGTATGATGAGTCACTTAAATTTTCAATTTCAATTGCTTTATTTACAGAGAAGCCCCTTTCCACAGAGGCCTGTCCATGTGACAAGATAAGAATCATTTTCACTATTTTCCATACTTTTGAATAGTGAAAATCATGAAAATAAGAAGTGAGAAATGTGTCAAGAGAAAGATTTTGAGGATCAAAAGTAGAAAATTCATGTAAATTTGTCTTAACTACTTTGTCTAGAAACTCTCCAAACTGCAGCAGAATTTCATCCCAATCATCTTGTAAAACACGTTTATTCTGCATTAATACCGTTAGAACTATTTTCATTTTGTTCTGGGCTTTTTCTGGACTTTTAACCATCAATCGCGGGTCTATACAAGATGCATTTCGAATAAGAGAATAATTTATTGGACATTTAGACATTAAGTGTTGTACTATTGTTAAGACACATTGTTGACCTTGTTTCAATGCAAAACTTTCAGCTTGTGAAATGTCCTTCTTGCGGCATTTATCATTCATTAACTGCTCAGCAATGAATCCCAAATAAACTTTACTTTTATCATTATAACAATTTGGATCATTAAAATTAAATTTATAAAGATTTTCTGCTTTAGTTATTTTTGAATATTCTAGTTTCAAAATTTTAAAGTGCTGAAGGCAATCATTTACAAGTTTTAAGATATCTTCAGCAAAAAAGGGAATAAGTGGTTTATCACTTTGATAATATTCAAGGAAAGGCAATAATATTTTCGATAGAGAGGGGGAAAAAAAATTTTATAAGAAATGTTTTATCTTTAGTTGCCTCCAAAATATTTTAGAAGGATTTCGATGAATTTTTTTTTAAACTTCCTCATTTCAACTTCCTTTAATGTATAGTAGCAAGTCATCCCATATTTCAATGGCTCTTTCAACTGCTGGGACATTTTGCAACCATCGGTAAAAGCAGAACTTCACAGGTAGCTTTTTTAAGCCAGATATACTTAAAAAATCTTCACGTCTTGCAGGAGAATCTTTAAAAATCCAATATAAGGAGGATAAGAATGATGGAATGTCCCAGCCAGTGGATGACATCCTATGCTTGAAAGCATTGTTAAGAATGTGTAAACCACATGTCCCTAATGTCAAGCATTGAATGTTATATTCCTTTGTCAAGTCCTGTTGCAATAAATCATAAAATTTCCAGTTTACTGCAGGACCATCCATCGATATTTGTAAGAGTTTTGACAAGTCTAGTTTTTCAACACATTCATAAAATTTGGATAAAATAATTTCACTTGTTGCATGCCCTATAAATGCAGAAGTAAGGTACTGAGTTCTGACCTTATTTTCGTGATGCCAGTACCTCACATAAATATCTAGTTGCTTCTTTTGATTTGTCAGATTAAGAGTCTCATCAAATAGTAATGTAAAAAACTCAGCATTTTTACAATGCTTTAGTAACAAAGTTTTAAAATAAGGGCCAAGACCAAAATAACAGATATAAGCACATTTCTTTCTTTTCACCACATGAAAACTATTTTGCAATGGAACTATCCGGGAACATTTTAGTGAATAACGGCCCAATATCATCGCACGATTTAAAAGAATAGTGGCTTTTGATGCACTTTAAAAGCCCACAATATTTCTGCATCTGTAACTTCAGATTTGAAAAGAAAAGAATTGATTTTATTATTTTCTACACTTATTGATGTTGAATTAGCAGTTACATCTTTTCCTGAAGTAGATGGTTCTTTCTAACTTGACAAAATTCATGATACTGTTAGAAGAAACTCTGCAGTTGAGAAGGGAAAGATGTTTTGCAGCTAAAAGGGGCATTACATGCAAGGCATTAGTAAAATTAAGTATCGCATATATATGTATATAATGTATCTATATATATATATATATATAATATAATAAAAATATATATATATATAATAAGAAATGTATACTGAAAATATACATTTTTTTTTATATATAATATATATACAGTACAAATTCCGAGATCCGGACATCCAATATCTGGAATGATCTAAAATCCAATCCGGACCTCAAAGCCACCACCAACCAATTTTTTAGGGCTTTTTTGGAGGGAAGGGGTATGCTTTACGCATGCGCATTAGATTTTTTTCCTCATCATAAAAAAACATGCCGGAAATCCCGATTCTTAATCTCAGTTTGGCGCTAAATAAAATATCTCATTATTGAAGAAAAATTATTATTTTAGCATAAATTTGTGTGATTAGTAACTTGACTCCATAGCTGCGTATCTGCTTGGCATAATCTCAAACCGAAACATTTGTTAATTTTACACCAACTAATATTTTATATCCTTGATGCCGAAATCGCGAATCATTATTTATTGTATTTTGCTTTCATCACCGCATGTTTATCAACGGATGACAACTTGAGTGATGACTCATGCAGCGACGCCAAATAACAGAGTATTATTATCCGATTACAGATTTAAGTTTAATGCGCTAAAATGTTGACAAGGGGAGATTTAACAGAAATTTCTTTCTTTCCTTATGCTAAAAATAGATTTTGTTAATGATACTCATAGGACAAACGATTATATTTAGTGCTATTTGAATTAAGAATAACTGATTTGTTATTCACATAAAGCCAGAACCAGCGCCAGAGCTCGCATGGCCGCACCAGGCGGCAGAATTTAGGGAAGTTAAACAGAAGTTTTTCATTGCGATGACAATGCCCCAATCATCAATCAATTAACGGAGGGCGAAATCTGTAGTATGGTTCTAAATCCAGAAAATACAGCTACCGATAGTGAAGAAAGTAACAGAGAGGTTACTGAACGAGAAAAAATTTTGATTGACAAGTTATTCGGAATTCTCGACACAGCAATTACAGGACTTGAACAATGGAACTTAATAACTCAACAAGAAATTATATGTCTATAGTATTAGTCTAAAGTATCAGCAGAGAAAACAAATCAAACAACTCACATTGAAAGAAATGTTTAATAAAGTAAACATATAAATATTAAGCTCTTTTCTTTTGTAAATTTTGATACCCTTTAAATCATAAATGCTTCATTATTTCATAAATAAATCACGATTTCATATTTTCAATTTTATAATTTCTACGTGCCATCTTAGTAGATTTAAAATGATCTAATATCCGGAAAAATCTCAAATCTGGGATCGCCGAAGTCCCGACCTCGGACTTTGTACTGTATATAATATATATATATATACGGAATGTATATTTTCAGTTAAACTTCTACCCAATAACTTTAGTAATTCATGAAAGTTAATTTTGCGTCTAGTTAATTCAGGAAAATTAGTTTCAATTAGTTGTTTTCAGCTTTAAAAATATTAAAAAATTTTTAATTAGTTAGTTGTTTTCAACTAATAATTGTATCGCCATTAGCAAAAATAATGCATTACTATCACAGCACAGGATAGGATTAAACCAAATACTTAATTGTCTATTGAAGCTTCAAAACATATTTCCGAACTTCACTTTTTCTCGGCTAGCGTTACCGAATTTGCCCTTGGCGACCTAAAATCGAAATGGAGCCAACAGATTTCCCGCGAAATCGATAACAGACCCTCTGCAGAAATAAACTCATAATCCCGATATCCCATACATATAGTATGTGCAAAAGAGAATAAACTCCGTAGAAGGTGATAAAAATTAATTTATGGCTTAATTGAAACAAACACAGAAATTAAGCTAAGCAAAACCGTGTAAAAACAAATTGAAATGATAAAACGAAACTTAATTTTCATGTGAATTTTCAGCGCTGACTCTCCCATTCTAGAAATTTCAATTTGTTTCAGACAAAGACCACATTTAGCTTTATAAGGATTGTCATCCATCAATATCCAGTCTTTGTAGTCAGCTTGATGAAGCCACAGTTTATTGAAAATGCACTTTCCAGGCATCTCGTTCCTATTGGCGTCGGAAGGGTTGTGGCCTTCCAGGTTGGGATTGCTCTAATTTTGGCAAATATTTTCAGAATCCCCCCCCTTTTTTTTTTTTTTTTTTTTTTTTTTTTTTCTTTCATTTTCTTTTTTTTTATCGAGCACCGATACTTTCGTTCGGGTAGCTAATTTTTTTTTTTTTTTAATCGTTTGCAACGCAAATCCGCCAACAGATTGGTTAAGAGCCGTGTAATTTTAATTCCATATTCATGAGAAATCGTAATTCACACTTAGAATGGCAATAATTAGAAATGATAAGAAATGTCAAATGAGCAAAATTAAGGACCGTTTATTCATTTTGGCCCAAATTAAGGACTTTTAAGGGCCAAAAATCATTTTTTAAAAAATTAAGGACTTTTAAGGACCGTACGAACTCTGTTGTCTTAAAAATAACATATGCTTACAAACAAAAGTGCTTGGAAATAAGATATAAGTAGGCCTTAGCAGATTTAAATTTAAATGCTCTATGTGCCATATTAACTGCAGTATAGCAATAGCATATCCAATGCATCTTTCACAACAAGGAACTGAGATAATTTTTATGGTTGAAAGAAATGTTATAAGCTTAAACACTACACTATCAGACATTTTTTTAAAGCAAAATATAAATTTCATCATTCTTTGATATCATACTGATGTACAGATTTGACAAACACTTTGAAAGCATATTAATTAAAAAAATCATCAGTATGATGCAGACAATATTTACCTAGAACAAGTAGCAGCAGAAAGGAAAAACAATATGATATATGTCACAAATGTAAATGCCATGGCAGTAAGTGTCCCTTTTGGTATAGAACGCCCAGGTTCTTTTAAATCCCCTACAAAATTTTACATTATTAATTTTTAAATCTCACAATACTCAAACATGAATAATATAAACTTATTCTCTAGATCATTAATAAAGATTAAAATTTGACTGATATATTCTAATATAGGGAAACAAAAAATACAATAATACCTGATAAGTAATCCATTAAATAAAATGTACTCTAGCACTTACATAGCATTACATCTATAATAAGTATATATGATATGAATATTTACAGAATGATTTTAAATATGGAAATAAAATTTCTATGCCTATTAAATAAAATATCACCATTAATGTCATTTGCATTCATGAATTTGTTTGTCAGCTAACTAGTAAAGACAAAGGATTCAAGGGCTATCTGCCAAAACAGTGACTCAATCAAGACCTTTTTAAGGGATACTATAAAAAGCTTATGATACACATAAGAACAATAATGAAAACATTTAATTATCATGTTTCACCAATAGTACAGAACACATATTCCACTCTTTTACAGTTTTAGTCACTTAGCCACCAGCGTGAGCTGTACAATTTAAAGGACTGGATATTTCAATTTTGCAAAGACAAACAGCACTGCATAAATTAGCATGACTATCAGAACAAAATAGGAAATTCGGTACTGCCATTACTCTTATCAATTTGTTAACAATTAAGGCTTTCCTATTTTCTCATTATGAGACGAAATTTTAAAACTCCTGGACACTACAGCTGTTACAAATTTAGATAACTCATGACAGCAATATAAATTAATTCAGCATTAAAAGGCCAGTATTCTTAATATAGAAACTTTTTATTGAAAAAAATGAAACATTAAATATGAAAATTTGGGAAGAAAATATGGTTGCTTAATCTTCATTAGTTTAACTAGTTATGTAGCTAGTAATTTAATACGAATCAAAATACCTGTGTTTCGAGAAACAGGAAAATTATTTTGATGGAGCGAAATGCATAAACTTTTTGACAGCTTTTTTTTAAATATAGAACTCCTGTGTTTTCTCTTAAAATTCTTCAAAACATGATTACGAAATAATGTGACAGAATACATAATTTATCTTGCAGTACTTTTTTAAGGTAACTGAAATGATTTTGAACAAAAATAAAAAAAATTGATTGATTTTGTTAAGGCACAGCAAGTGAAGGCTATCTGCCAAGGAAGTTATGCATCAGCAGAGAATTTTTTAAAGGAAACTGGCCCATACTAACATTACACATGGAAAAAACCATAAAACCCCCCATACAGCCAAAATATTCACCAGCATTTTAATTCTATGTAGAAGCCCTAGCATTTTACCCACTTAATCAATAATAGGCTAGATAGCACATCTTAACCTCTTTCTTTTCATAACATAAATTTGACAAAACTTGCATTGGAAGATTTACAGTTCAATTTATAATGATTAAAATTATAAATTATACAATTTTAAAAAAATCAACTGGAATTTGATTATAATCTAAATCAACTAGACTTTTATTCATTTTTAAGTTTAAAATATTGAGCTAGCTGTTTATTTTAATTTATAACTATGTCCTAAAAAATATGAGTGTTAGGTTTTAAAGATTTTCAAAATTTGTTTCTTCATATTTTTGATAACGTCTGCAGAAAAACAACCAAAGGCATACTCATAATATTATTGATTTCCAGGAGAAGAATGTTTAATCCAATCATAGAAATCCTTATGGTTATGACATATGACATATTAAAGATGAATTTTAATACATTCCATCAAAATGTCAAGTATAAAGAAAAAAGGGAAATTACAAAAATAACGACTTTTAGAACGCAATTACTAAAAACTTCTGAACTATGATGGAATAGTTCTAGATTTCTATGGACCTACATACTTATGTGTAAAAATAATTATTAACCTGAAATTCAGCAAAAGGAGCCATAGATTTCAACATGAAATGAATATATAAAAATTTTCAAATTTTTGCTGGAAATAATCTTTGGAAATCAATGATATATTGTAAAAGAAAGAACATAATATGTGGCATCAGGTATCAAATGAAATAATTTTTTGTACACACAGAAGTCCTAGAAAACTTGCTCTAAAAATTTATAATTAAGTATTTAAATTGAATACAAACACATAATTCTTGCTATATTAAAAATGCATTTAGTGATTTAAACATTATTATAATTCATAAAAAGTTTCCAGTTCTTGTGTGTTATCCCGAACTGGTAGCTTTGACAAGTTCAAATGTAATCCATATAGCATTCTTAGTGTACTTCATTTGCTACCAAACTATGGTGATAACTTGATTAACATAATTTTCTATTTTTGGTGAATATCATGTACGTATCTCCTGCTGTGTAAATTAAAAGCAGTTGTTAGAACAGTAGCAATAAATACATCATACAGCATCTATTTTGCTATTTGTTAAATTTCAGAAACTTTTAAAGAAAACAATTAATCACAAATTTGGGAAAACTGTTTCACATCTCAACAAGCATGCTGAAGGTTAATGATATGATTGCAACAAGAAAGCAGATATTTACTTGACAAGTTATAGTTACTCTTGTTGTCTACTGAAGGTTTTGATATGGGATGGAAGAAAATTGTATCAAATTTTTTACCCACTATCAAAATCTAACTGAATTTTCAGTATCTATATGTGGAAGACTTGAATCTAAAATCTAATTTGTGGAACTGATAACAAACATGTAGAATCAAAAATAATTTCAATCAACATAGCTCGTATCAAATTTTTAAGGACTAATAATATTTAAATGAATTGTAAAGCCAATAAGTTTAAGTTTTTACAAGTTATTTTGCTATTGATTCAGACCTTTTTCAATTTGCACTTTTCCTTATTTCTAAAGTTTAAGAATAAAATACTTTATTAAGAAACTTTGAAGTACACAAGTTAAAAATAAAAACTTATAAATTTGGAAAAGAATTTTACATTTTATTTTAATGAGAATAACATTATGGATCCCATGTACTACCTTGTTGCAATATTATGTGTAGTGCATAATGTGGGTAGCATCATTACTGAGATTCACTATTAATTTGCTTTAAGAATAAACATATACTTATATACTTAAACTATACAGAAAAGTAAAGTTTAAATACCAGACATGTTTGCTCCAGCCATGATTCCAGTTACACCACTAAACATCACAGCAAAAACTGTAGCAAAAGTTGTCATTTTGCCAGTTGTGTAATCTCTCCCATAATTTTCTAATAAAGATAATAAAAATTATTATACACAAGAAAATGCCTATAAGCAGCACTTACAATAAATTAAACCTCATTTAATTTCCAGGCTCCAGATAAATATAGTTATTTGTACAATGTCCCTCACTTAATTTCTGTCTTCATAATACATGCTGCATAAATATTAACTCAAGTATTCCTGCCCCCTTTTCTTACTGATTTTATCGTACAGAAACTGAGAGGGAAAAATTAATTATTATGGAAAAACTATGCATTCTTACTGTAACTGTGTCCTCCACAATTTTTAGTATCTAAAGCAGAGTTTCTTAAACTTTTTTCAGTCGCGATCCCTTTTCATCACTGAAATTTTTTTGCAGCCTCCAGAACCCCAAAATATTTACAAACATTTTGTGGGACCCATAAGTATTGCGCAAATCTGACACACGAGTGAGTGAAACTGTCAATTTTTTCACTTGTACTGTAACATACTATTGTAGTTTTAGGTCATTAACATTAATTTCTAATTTTAAGATATAAAAAAAAATTCGAAGGTTTTAAATAAGTAAAGACAAAATGACAGCGTCACTTGTAAAGCAAGGAAAATGAACGTTTATATTACAGAAAGAATGCGTCAAAATGTTTTCATTTTTTTCTTTGTCTGCATTGTCTTATCTTTATCTATTTTCAGACACATTGTGTAAAAATATTTGGTAATTGTAAAAATATCATAATAAGTTGAAGAAATATCAAAACTGCTAAAATTTTTGGCGACCCATGCTACAGGTTCCGTGACCGCCTTGGAGGTTACGACCCACAGTTTAAGAAACCCTGGTCTAAAGGATACTGTTAAGAGTAAAAACATAACAAATGAAAAATATTCATGGTTAAACTACTAGTAACTATCACAATATTTATTTAAAAGAAACCTACATTCCAATAATGCTAGTAAAATTACAATTAGCAATTATAACAAAAATGCATAGTAATATTAACAATACATTATGTAATGAAATATCCTCATTTCTATTTCTCTGTATCCTTCCATCTATTAGGTGCCTCCATAATAAAGAGACCTCTGCTTCCGACCTTAGTAGTGGCCAAGCCTATAAACAGTTACAGCCTGGCATTGGGAAGGGGAGAACAAATTCCCTGTATTCAGACTGTCTACTCATATTCAATATTCTTCAGATTCATCAACAGCATTATATATGCCTGTTTTCTTGAAGCTCTTCCGTATTATTGTTTCATCAATCAGAGCCCATGCACCCAAAATTGATGTGCAAGTGAATTAGTAAGATGAACTCAAACACTATGTGGATGATTCCATTTTAAAATTTAGAGAAGCTCACTTTCTGAACACCTTGAGAAGGGGAAAATTACTTCAGTACCTAGAAAAAAAATGTTTTGAATCTCGTGCTAAAATAACTAAGGGGGGAATACATGAGTAAATATGGTATATGTGTATGTAAATATATATATACACATACACACATACAGGATGATTTAAAATTCTTTAGACAAATTTTAAGTGTGCATCAAATAAACAAAAAGCAGTTATTTTTTCAATACGACAAAGCATCAAAATTATAATGGGCATCCACTAAAGGGAGCTCTTTGCAAATAAATCAGTCGAAGCTTACACTGTAGGATCATTTAAAATGGAAATGTTACAAACATAGGATACAGCACTATAATCATACAAATCTGGTGAAGATGTTTTATTTATGAGAAAGTGAAACAAAAAAGGCCATGCACTGTCATCAGATATTTGAGCTTCTGCATCAATGATTATGTATAACAAGGAGATTTGAAGTAAAGAGACATAGTGGTTGAGAACGAATGGTGCATTCACCTGTCACAGAAGTGATCATACACAAAGCTGAATATGACCCAAATATAAATACACAAACTACTTCTCATAAGTTTAATATTTCACAAGTCAGTATGTTTCACATATTGCAGGATGAATCTTTATACTCTTAAGAGATGAAACATATTCTGGTATTCATAAGTGGAGGCTACCCCTGAGATTCACATCTGCACTTAAATTTTTAGTGCAGCGTAGACTGATTTTCAAGTTTTTAAAAAAAAAAAAATTTTTTTTTTAAGCTTCATTTTTAAGGGATTTTATCGTGAATGCACACAAAACTGGCACATGTAGGCATATAAAAACCCGCAAACAACAAGGCTATATGGTTCTAACAATATTTCATCAGTTACATTTAGGCAGTAATTGTGGGAAATTGTTTGTGAGGCTCATAGATTCTCTGATAATAGCTCAATGAAACTCTACTTATAAATAAAAATAATGTTCTAATAATTACCCAAAATCAGCGTTTATGATTGTAAAGTGTATTCTGCACATTGTTACATATTGTTTTCATTTACTGCATTTTAAGCACTAATTTTAGAGTGTATCTTTGGTACTTACACAATATCACAACCAACACAGTAGAAGTTGCTAAATTTTCAGAATGCATCAAACTCTCACAAATTATGTATATAACAATTTTTCAGTCAAGCTACATTGTCATTTCTTGCATGCTTCAATATTTAAGTGTTCTTCTGTCGGGATCATGCTGAAGTACAATACCAAAGTTATGTGGGATGCTGAGTTTATAGAAATCTTTGATTTTTTTATAGTGAAAACAGATAGCTTTGTAGTCAGTAGAACCCAGGTACACCCATGCATTGTATTTTGAATAGCTAAAGTGTGTTTTCTTTTAATAAGTTGATAATGTTTACTGACTTATGATAAATATCAACAGTTTAGCAATTTTGCTGAAGAAAGTTGCTAGAATTGTCTTCTTACACCCTGATAGGTAATTTTTATTGAATTTAATGATGACTTAGATTACAATTCTTTTTCTTCTGTAAAATATCACAAAACTGCAACAAGGTTGTTGCATTAACACATACTTTTGTGTAACTGAATTTGCAGTTATGTATTTTATATTCAGTTATGTATGTTACATTATTTTTCAGTTATATACATTATATTATTTCTTCTTGCTAATTTGGAATAATTATTTGAACAGATCTATGCAATGTAAAGAAATTTTAAATATTATCTATCATAAAGCTACAAAATAAGAAGGATGCCCATTTATAATTTAATAATTTAAATAAATTTTTAATATAAATACATTTAAATAAATTTTAACAAAACTAATAAAGTAAATTGTAAGAAATATCTACAGACTAAAGAGCAAGATACTGATACAGAACTAATTTATACATATTTTATATAAACAAAATTCCATACCCCAAATATTACTGGTGAATGTATGCCAACTAAATCCAGTATATTCAGCCTGAGTTAAGTTCAAAATGGTATTTTCAGCAGGAATGGAAACAAAAAATGGATGCACTGATAGAAAACTGATAAGGACAGAAACAGTACTGAAAATTACTATGAAAAATATGATAACAGATGTGCGTGCAAACATAGATGCTCCAACAAGGCACACAATCAGGTTAAAAAAGTTTAGACAGGATCCAAAGAGAAAGTTGTACCATTTTCCACCAGGTAAAATAGATTCCAAACTTCCTAAAAATAGACATAATTCAAGTGTAAATTTTAGAATGTAGCAAATCAGAAACAAACTTAAAACACAAACATTGTGATATAAGTATTCATTTTTATGCAAGAATTTTATGAATGAGAAATCTGCTTTAATAAAAAAATTTAGCAAAAATACTTGTTTCAATGGTTTATTTTAAAAGCTACATTATTTTAGTCAGAAGGATTACTGATGCTCTTTCCCTCTGACAATTTTAAAACTTGTATCCCAAAATATGATATGGGCATACTAATACAAATTTGCAGAAGGAAAGAATTAGGGATTTTTTTCATTAAAAACTGGGTACTAAAAAACATAATGCAAGTTAAGTTAAATTAATTCATACACAAAAAATACACATAAAAAATACAAACTTCTTTAAAAGAAAATATATTTCAAATATACACATTGTTTTATTTTTTAAGCTGCAATGGCACTACTTACTGTGAAAGACATGGATACCTTAATTCTCAAAGTGTACTTTTGGTTTAATTTTCAGGTATCATGTCATGGCCAAAGAAGGCTTGAGATTGGAAATCAGCACTAAGACAACAGTGATGAACAACTATTGGTAAGCATCTTAGTAATTTCACAAACTCCAAAACCTGATTCTAAACTATTAAATAAAGGTAGTGCTTTTAAAAGCCACACAGCCATAACAATGGATAGTCCAATGCCTGAGTTTAAAATGCATAATTTGCTTGATCATTCGAGGTATCACTGTAAAAGAAGATCTAAAGATCACATCTTGGCACTTGAAGAATAGCAATGAATACTAACTTTTTTAACTTTTTGTTTGGTGTTATCTATTAGCGGATATCATCATCTAAAATCTCAAGCAGCATTCTCTAACAATTATTGGTTCTAACTACCAAATACAGATGGCACCATTAGACCAACAATGGTGTATGGCAACAACAACTGAGCTGTATACTTTTTCTAAACTTTGAACTTTATAAACATAAAAAATATGTATAGTCTATTCTGATTTTCATGGATCTGTTTTAAAATACAATTTAAGAAAAAAATCTTATGTCATTTAAATTGAGACATTTTGAAATCCTGCATTTAAAAATGAGATATGGCCAAATGTTTTTAACAGTTTTAGTTAATATCAGTTTTTAGTTTAATATGAGTGGTGCAGCTGGCATATTTTTGGGGTGGCATTTGCTCCTTGAAATATAATGGATCTTTGGGGTAGAAAGAATAATCAAAATGTCTTAAGAATATAGCAAAATTCACTACAGTTATATGAGGTGACATGTGTCATGGTGGACTGCAACAATATTATAATATGGGGGCTGGCTAATATTCAGATTATAAAAGGCACTAGCTCCTACTCAGGTCATGCATATGTGAATACAACTTCACATAGTCTATGTTACCTACAAGATAAATCATATAAGGCAATCAGTTTATTGTTTGGGATTTGACTTCAGGTTGAACTACCAGTATATTATCCATTCAATCATTAGAGAGGTCAAGAATCAAGAGATGCTGAATTTTGATACAAAACTGAATTGAGGAGAGAATTATTTTAAACCAGACATAGTATTTAAAGAAATTAAAAGGATATTTCAACAGCTTTACTTTCTTGCTATGCCTTCCTTACTCCATTGGAACTTTTTAATGAAATGACAGTTAAATTATGATCTTAGTGATATATATATAAAGAAAGTATTTCATTGAGAAAGAACTATTTCAGAACTTTATTTCTTAGCTGGCTGGGAAGGCAAAACTGGAATGTGGAAGCTTAGTGTCTCTGAACTTTCACAATTTATTCTAAAATACAGTCTTTGAAAAGTCAAAATAGAATTAGAAATATTCTAATTCTACTTCAAATTTTTCTTGCTGTTGCTTAAGTATGAGTTGTTGTGAGAGTAGCTTCTTTAGATACTAATTAGTTAAGAACCACCAGAGACCTAAAAATGAGCATCTTGTATTTAACAAATACTTTACAGAAGAGCAACTGGAGTAGTGAAACAAACTACTAGAATGTTATCATTGATTTTTCTAATAGAAAAATAAATAAATAAATAAATAAATAAATAAATAGCACTTTAAAATGTTGCAATTCTCTTTCTAAAATGAAGCTTTTATTTATTTTCCAATATGTTGTTCTGACATTTTACAGATTTCATTTTTTTAGCATGCATTAAACGGGGCAGCAAAAGCTCTATTTATGCCATTGTATCACATACTGACCACTAAAATTTGCACCCACCCTCAAATCACGTTATCAAAAAAAGTTAAACCAGTCCTTTCTGTTCTTTGCCATTAAATCAATGAAATAAAGAGTTCTTTTATGAAAACTTTAAATTAAGAAAACTTATGTTCAAGATGAAAGCAAGAATCCATTGAAAGAAGTTTAGTTCAAATACATATTTGTGAAAAAATTTATAAAAACCATTTCAATTACAATTACGTGGCAAAAAGTGATGTCAAATAAAACCTACTTAAAAGTCTACATGAAAGTCACATTTTTTTGTTAAACATTTGTAACATATTATTTTATTTGTGAAGCATAATGTATCTTATGTTTGTTCATGAATTTTTAGTTATATAAAATGCTTAGCTTAAAATAACTCTGAAAGTTGTTCTATTGTGAAAAATAAAATAAATAAAACAGTGGCCATAAATCACTCCCACTTTTTATTATATCTTCTATGTCAGTTTTCAGACTGATGCAGTATATTCCTTATAAGTGTTAACAATATGCATACTTGATGGCTACAAGACTCCTAATAAAATATCCATCATCTGAACAGAGGCTTAAATGCAATGATTTCATCATTGCTTATAAATATCAATATTACATTCATTTTTATTCTTCAAATGCCTTTGCACAAAAGTAAAAATATCACAATCTTAGTTCAATGACGACCAAGCTGCCAAAAAAATCAATAATAGAGAAAACTCTCAAAAGACATTAAAAAAGTAAGACATAACGATAAAATTCTTGAGCTAAGTGCTTTTGAGCTAAGCTTGCTTGTATATTTGAAAATTTAAAGAAACTAATTATAATGTTAAGAACTAAAATTCTAGCATATTTCAGAGAAGACTGCATATTTTATTGAGAGGGAAAGGAAGGTTTTTTGAATATTATAATTTTTAAGATGAATTTTTTTCACAGAATACATAAATATTGCACAATCTCAATGAAGATATATACAACAACTGATATTATTACTTTATATCAGTTGTTGTATATATCTTCACTGACACTGTTTATATGATTAATGTCTTCTCTCTTTCTTATTATTGTAACAATAGAGAAAACCAGTTATACCAATAAAATAAAATAAAATCATCTAGCTCCAAAAAAATATTTCTTAAGGGCATCACTTAACATTTAGAACAGATAGAAAAATGCTACTTCTTCCCATAACCGCTTCAAGTGCTGAAAGTGTGGTTATTGCTAATATCACTCAATATAATATCATAGGCCATGGTGTGATTACCTAGCCAGCAGATGTTTGAAAGCAATATATAAGAATCTAGTTAGCCAGGAGAAAAAACTGTTTTTTTATGGCACATATAGTTTCTTTTAATTAGTATTCTTCATTCCTAAACTTTATTGGAAAAAAAAAAAAAAAAATCTTTGCTAGTGGTATGGCCAGTGGCTCATTCTGGATATTGCATATCCCAGATTTTGGATTCGGTACTGTATACAAAATACTTCCAATGAATAGAAAACTTCATATCTCTGTATGAATAAGACAATGATATATTAACTGCTCCCAAAAATAATACAGTCGAAATTCGTTAATCCGGACTCGTCAGGACTTCGGCGATTCCAGATTATAGATTATCAGTTTAAATCTCGTTAAGATGGCATGCAGAAATTTTAAAATTAAAAATATGAAACCGTAATTTACGAAATAAAGAACAATTATGATCTAAAGGGTATCAAAATTTACAAAAAAAAAAAAAAAAAAAAAAAAAAAAAAGCTTAATATTTATTTGTTTACTTTATTAAACATTTCTTTCAATGTAAGTTGTTTAAGTTGCTTCGTTTTATGTGATAATACTTTCTCTTTAATTCTATAAACAGACATAATTTCTTGTTAGTTACTGTTCAAGTCCCATAATTGCTGTGCCGAGAATACAGACTAACTTGTCAATCGAAATTTTTTCGTTTTCACTAACCTCTCTGTCACCTTCTTCATGTCTTTATCCATTTTTTGCAGCAATTCCACTTTTTGTTTGATGGACATCGAAACATACTTTCGTTTTGTAGATCCTTTGGGAGCTCCAGCATCGGAAATTATATTTGACATAATCGAAAGTTCAAGTTTACTTTTATAAAATTGCTCTTACAGTCTGCAAAAAATAATAAGCAGGATCCAATTCGAAGATTAAGGAACAACGCAATCTTCAACATTAACTGAGATAGATAATTAGATAATTTTAGCTTATACCCTCCGTTATACATAAAACACGCACGCGAAAATGTATTCTGCACTTGCGCACGCATATGCGCAGTCGTAAAGGTCTTACGTGCACGCGTAAATGTCTATGCGCATGTGTAAACGCTGCGCATGCGCAGAAAGTTTTTAGCTTTGAGGTCCGGATTATGGGTGTCCGAATTAATGACTTTTGACTGTACTGCTTTGAAATTATCATCAGATTCAGAATCATTAAGTATTCCTACTCAATTTTCACATTATTTGCTTATATTTCTAAACTTATAAATCATCTCCTTTTTCTTTTATTTGCACTTTTCAAATTGCTAAAATCAATGAAAAAAGAAATAGAGAGAAAATTTAAAGATAATTATTTTAATTTCAGTTATAAACAACTTTTTATTTTACTTTAACTTAAAGCAATATAAATAAAGCTTATTATTTATTACTGATTAATTACTTTATTATTTTATAACTGATGAAAAGAAATATTTTGCACTCTTCATAAACGTACAGTTTTTTCCTCATAAAATTATCGTCAAATAAACATATTTTCAATTGCAAAACAAAAGTACTTTCGCAACTTTCTAAATTTAGTGAGTGACCTAATACTTCCATTAATAGAAAACTTAATGGTTTTAATTGTATCATTAACAAAAAGCAAGGACATAAACATCTGAATTCTGTTGCTACGCTCGTATATACATATTAGTACAATCATCTTAACTCTTTCGCATCGAGAGACGACCAAATCTGTTTTCAACAAACATCGAAAACGCCCGTGTTTACGAATTTGTCTTGGAATGGTTTTCCTTTCCCCCTTTTGCGGTTTCATCCATTCATCCATTGTGCGCAGTTTCACCTTAGGGCCGGATTGCACCTGCGAACGTCAATAGCTTTCCGTATTTCTCCTTTATTTGCTTCAAAAGAATGATTGACATGTCTTTTAACAACTCGCGAAACCAATGAGCCATACACTAACGTGGAGGGGAAAGAACTAGGTAGAAAATAAACGAGGCATTCGGGCGGTTTGCCATTGCCTGAATGAACGGGCGCTACGGGCGATTTCGATGCGAAAGAGTTAAAAGAAGTCACCAAATTTTTAAAACGTGCCAAACTCGGGCAACTATGCACGTAACAATTCTTTGATTTAAACAAGTAATGTAATCATTTTTTACACATTCTTTTGGTTGTACTCCAAATTCTAAAGTTTTTTTTAATAGATAAAACATGATATTTTTGCTCAAATTCAATTTAAAAATATTCACTTGTGAGATTTGCAGCAGAAGGAGGTTAGGTTAGGCTATTTAATTACGGCAAAGCCTCGAGGGCTATCTGTCTAAGGGGAGGGATGCCTTTGTGGAGGACTTTTTAAGGGAAACTGGCTCATATACACGTTACACATGGGGAAAACCACGAAAACACCTATGCAGCCAGGCTGTTCGCGGGATTTGAACCTCGGACCGAACTACCAGTGTTCAGCGACTTTACCGCTCGGCCGCTGGTGGGCTGCAGCAGAAGGAAGTAAGGTAAAATTTCTGCAGGAATACAGTATTAGGCCACAAAACTGTTAAAGGAAACAATTGCTTTGAATCTATTCTTAAAGTGACACCATAAAATTTCCATCAATAAAAAAAAAAATAAAAAAAAAAAAAAAAAAAACCACAACTTGTAAATAGGCTTCTTTTTATATATTTTTGGAATCAAATATATAATTTAACTGCAAAGTAAATGTAATAATATGCCCGTATGTAATACATATTTTTTTAGCAATCATAGATCTTTATTCCTTTTCTTCTATTAAAAAATTGTTAAGCTGTGCCACAGAGATTGCACTTATACATAGCAGAACATATATGGAAATGCTCTTAAGCAACATGAATATACTAAAATCATATTACCTGAAGGTCCAAAACTATCCACTAAACCTTCCACACAACCAGCAATATATAAAGCACTAGAAAAAATATTTGCAAGAAAGAAGAGTGTACCAATACTGCCTCCAAATTCTGGTCCAAGAGCTCGACTAATCATAACTTTGAATTATGAAGGAAATAAGTCACATCAATACAAATTATATTTATACTTTAATTAAAAATACAAAAATTAACTCAGGAAGCCAGATTAAAAATTAAAGGAAAAAAAAAAAACATTAGATTAATACAGATTTAAAAAAGGAAAAACAAAATTTTTTTTGGGGGGGGGGTGGTGCAAAAAGTGGCAAAAAAATTTTTGTTCTTAAGGAAGAGGGACCTATGCTCTAGAAATCAATATAGTTTTGTTCAAAATCTATGCCAACCTAAGGTTTCTTTTTTGCTTACTCTTAAATATGAAAATGGCATGTTTGCCTTGCCATTCGAAGGGAGACATTATTTCGATGTTTATTCCCATTACCTTTCATACTCTAAATTTTAACACAAGTGTGACTAACTGCATGCATTTATATTGCGAATTACATAGCATTTTAAACACCCAAAAATTACATAGCATTTTAGAGACCATCTCAAACTTCTCATACGATATTGCCAACCTACCGAACTTTAAAAAAATTAGATATTTTTTTAAAAAGAAAATGGAAAAATTTTCTCTTCAACGTTCAAAAATCACAACTTCTGCTAATTAATAAAAAACGCATAATGACTCCTGCTAGAAGAAAACTTAAAATTTTCAATATTATTGTACCTGAAGTTAAAAAAGCTACTTACCTCGGTGTAGTCCTGAATAAGCAATTCAAATGGAAAGACCATATTATTAAAGTCAGAAGCAAAGCTCACACAGTAATGAACAATCTTGCACCCGTACTGGGTAAATACTCTAAACTGGATCTTTCCCGTAAAAGACACCTTTATACGGCCATTATTAGGTCAATTTTTTCCTATGCATCCCCTGCTTGGGCTACAGTTACAACTAAAGACCTTTATAAACTGCAAGTTCTACAAAATAAGTTTATGAGACTTATTACAAATGCACATTTTTATGTGTCAAACGACACTCTTCACAGGGATCTTAAACTGGATACTGTTGAAAAATACCTCCATAAAATGAACAAGAACTTTTTCGACAAAGCCTAACAATGTGACTTTTTACGTCATTTTAAAGTTTTTGATTATCTTCCACTGAGAGAGGACAGTTGCATCAGACCTTATGCAGCTCACTTCACCCGTGACGATAATTTTACTACATAGTTGGCTTTCACAAATTTTCCTGTATATAGTGTATATATGTTATTTTATCATTTGCATCTCTTTATGTGTCTTGTATTTGTATTGTATGTAATATGTTACAATATCTGATTTAGATAATAAAACTTTTCTCAGACCTATTCTCATATTTTAACCACCTATCCATCATGAAACAACACTACCAGACACCAACTTGTATTTAGCCTCTCCATGCGCGTGGCTTTCTTGGTTTTCTTTCTTCTTGTGACGCTGGTCGACGCCTTCTCACTCCTCAGCCAGACCGTTCAATGTCTTGTGCCCTACTGGGAAACTTTGTCAGAGAACCGGCAACGTCGCGCGCTCAACAGCGACAGCCCGGCATATATATATACATATAATGTTGTATGAACTTAAATCCATTTAGTGTGAATACAAGTTATTATTAGTATATATAAATTTCTCAGCGATGAAAACAATTTTAAACTATTACTTAAGTGATTACTAACCAAAAGTGAAGCCACTAATGCTTGAATGCAAATTGCAAAAAAATACCTGTATGTGAAAAGCATCCTTATTTTTTTTAATGTTTTATAAAAAAAATTAATTCTGCTATTATTGTTTATAAATAATAATTTCAATATGTAGAATGTAGATAATAATTTCAATATGTAGATAATGACATATTTCTTATGTTTTATGAATATGTTTTTAAATTCATGAATAAATTTTTTAAATTGCAATATTTTGAATTGTATAGAGAATTACAATATCAAATTTTTAATAAAACAAAGCAGCTTGCCACTCAACTTTACTTACATAAGCGCCATCTATATAATTAGCAGAACACACTTACATCACTTAGGAAACACTTTTACAGACCCCAACGCTATATGGTAGGTAAGTTAGAATTAAAACTTACTATTTACTTGCTTTTAAGTATTTTTTAAGTATTTTTTATGTAGTATTTAAGTACTTTCTAGATATTTAATTATTTTTTTAAAGTATTTTTTAGTATTTATTGGTTTTTATAAATTATAAATTATGAATTAGTTCTTTTTAGTTTCTTATTGGTTTATATAAATTATGTCTAGTTCTTTTTTGATTGATATGCGTATTCATGTCGGGGAGGTTTCTGTAGACAAGGGTTTCTAAAATGCATTAGTTTCTAAATTAATTTTTCTGAAAAATTTAATTAATTTTTTTTTTTAAATTTAATTTAATACTAGACTTTACATTGCTTAATTCTCAAAATACTTCATTATTGGTATTTTCCTTTTAGACCTTTATTTTAAATGCTAATTTCTCAAGGTACCACTTTATTGGTATTTCTTTTTGGACATTCTTCACTATGTATTTACTTTTAGTTTTGACTTTTACCCTTGCCTGCATGAATGACGAAACACGAACTGAATGATTGTAGAGTTAGGTTTGGAAGCAACTTCCCCTTGATAAGTCTGTCTCCTGCCTACTCAACAGTCATTCACTTATGCATTTTTAAAAAAATTTTTTAGATTATTTTTAATCGGTGAATTTATTTTCCTGGTTTGGTTTTACACTTGATTTACTTATGCTATCTGAATTTAAATGATATTGTAGATTAGTTCAAAAATTAAATCTTTTATATGTTTGCACATTTTTTAATTATTTTAACTTTAAATTTGCTTTTTACATATATACATGTTTGTTAAAATTTAAATTTCATTCCTTGCAGCAATGGCGCAAAGAATTAATTAAATTTGTATTTAAATTCAATTTATTCTTTTGAAACAATTTATTGTAAACATTATTTACGAACATCTGCCTTTCAGTTATGCAGAATTGAAAAACTGCAATAACAAATGATACACATTACAAACATATTACATTTCTTTAATGAAATAATGCAAGGAAAGTCATCTGTCTGTGATTTTAAAAGAAAACAAAAATATGAAATCTTTCAGATTATATATTAAGGCCAAAGGGACATTTTTTCATTTCGAGGGCACTTGGGCTATGCTGCTTTAGGCTAAAAATATTTAAAAACAGCATGTTGTTAGAATTTCCGATAGACAGTCTCGCATTGTGGAGATTAATATATTTTATCCCATACAGTGTTGTCATTGCTCACTTTGAAATTACTGAGTTTTTTAATCAAAAATCCATTAAAGTTTTACAAAATATGAAATGGATAATAAAACAAGTTTGAAATTCAAAATTCGGGCATCCAGAAACCTGAATCCATTGCTGGAGTGGAGGACTATGTTACTCAAAATTTGATGGCTCTAGATACTACTGTTTTTTCACAATGCAAGAAACATATATAGATTCATGCAGATTCTTCATTATTTAATTTCTTTAGATATAATACAGGGTGGCAATATTAAATATAATAGAGTACAAAGTCTTTAATCCGGACTTGTCGGGACTTTGGCGATTCCGGATTAGGGGTTTTTCAGGATTATAGATCATCAATTTAAATCTGATAAGATGGCATGCAGAATTTATAAAATTAGAAATATGAAAGCATAATTTATGAAATAAAGAGCAATTATGATCTAAAGGCTATCAAAATTTAAAAAAAAAAAAAAAAAAAGCTTAATATTTATTTTAAAGTAAGTTGTTTAAGTTGCTTCGTTTTTTGTGCTAATACTTTCTCTTTAATTCTATAACAGACATAATTTCTTGTTCAGTTCCACTGTTCATCCTGTAATTGCTGTGTCGAGAATACCGACTAACTTTGTCAATCAAAATTTTTTCATTTTCAATAAACCCTCTGTCACTTTCTTCACTATCGGAAGCAGTACATCGAAACATGCTTTCGCTTTGTAGATCCTTTGGCAGCTCCAGAATCGGAAATTCTTTTGACATAGTTCAAGCTTACTTTTTATAAAATTGCTCTCACAGTCTGCAAAAAATAATAAGCCGGATCCAATTAGAAGATTAAGGAACATCACAATCTGCAACATTAACTGAAATAGATAATTAAATAATTTTAGCCTAGCTTATACCATCCATTATACATTAAACACGCACGTGTAAACGTATTACGAGCATGCATAAAGGTATTATGTGCATGCGTTAGCTTTGAGGTCCAGATTATAGACCATTCCGGATTATGGACATCCGAATTAAAGACTTTGTACTGTACAGGGTTTCTTTAAATATATTTGGTGGCACCAATTTAAAAACTGATTGAATGCTTTTAGTAATTCAACGCAAAATGCCATTTCGAGACTAAGAGCCCTTCTGGGCTAACAACATTTAAGCAATTGCTCAAAATGTGAAATTTATACCTATTATAATCTGATACTTTAAAAAAGTTTAAGCTAATCTTTTTCTCTCTTTTGGCTTCCTTCCTAAACATGGTAATGATTGTTGCAGAAAGTGTTTAAATCAATGGAATGGTGTAACTAGGATTTCCAGTGTCTGGGAATAATTGAAAAATTTGCGCCTCTTTCTGGGTGCCAAGAATACAAAACATTTCAGTAAAAAATTTCGTAGCATCAATTTGGCGCTCCTGGATGCTGCGGCCGGGTACAGATGTCCCCTCTTGCCGCAACTTAGCTACGCTATTGGGTTGAATCCTTTAACTTGCTAAAATCCCTTAATTCTCTCTATAGTATGATGACATAGAAGTCAGTGTTGACAGCACACATTTCAACAGTTGATGAAGGGAAGGTTGAAATTTATTATGACCCTGAAATATCTATTTTAAAGTAACAAATTACAGTGGCAGTCACGAATGGGGGGGAACCTCCTCGATCTTGGTTTGTACTCATTGACTGATGTGAACCACTGCAGATGCACATCATATTCACTGGAAGCATGTCACATTAAAATACTTGATAACACAATCCCTTTATGATTCAGGCACTGTTATCAATGTACAAATGTAGAGGGAGAAGTTGAAGACCGACTTTAAAAAGAACAGAGACAAGGCTTAATTCTAACTGTAATTTTCTAAGTTATAAAAATTTGGTAGGCTTAGTTCCCTTTCTTTTAAATTAGCCTAATACAGTTAGCATATATGAATTTAATATTATCATGTTTACTGATTCATAATATTTAACAAGATAAAGCTTCTGTTTATCAAAATCACAAAGCAACAGAAAGTGATAGCTTTGATTATTAAAGAGTTACTTTCTTTTCAGTCTATATTTTTGCTTATATTGAGCTGTAAATTAAAAACAGTTTTCATAAAAAGGATACAGTAAGCTCCACCTCCTTCAACAGCTCCATTAGTAGAAATAGCACAAATAGACAAAACAGTAGAGACTAAAATAACATATGATAAAATAGCTCCTGCAAGTGTTTCCAGCAGACCAGCATGACCCACGATAAAACCTGAAATGATTTTTTTATATATTTAAGAATACACAAGATATTTATAGATATGAAGATTTTGATAAAAAAAAAACCTGATGACAATGCTCAAGAAATATTCATAGAAAAGATGCTGATGAACAAAATTTAACTGAAAGGCCATATCAGTCATATCAAATCAATTCTGAACATGATAGCACAGAATTGCCTCGAGTTTAAAATTTTATCATAAAGAGAATAGAGAGATGCATACGTTTAGAACAGCTATGAGATTCCAGAATTCCAGTATGGGTGAAAATAAAATTCATAAAAATTAAAGGTGAAAATTGAAATTGAGATGAAAGAGATGAATCTTCAGAGAATAAAGGCATTAGGTATTTTGCAACAGAAAGCAATGATGAAAAAGAAAACCATTACTGTGTGTCACTTGAAGTAAAATACTTTTGTCAATCACATGCATTTTTAATAAATGTATATGATACATATGATAATATGTAAAATGATGCATTGTTCGCTTTTACAGCCTAACACTGCTTCTCATGCCAGTTTTATTAAAAAACATATAACAGGATAGAATCTGTGGAGTTAATACTTTTCTTCCCTTATCAATAACCTCTTACAGACTTTCCATCTGCATAACTCAGTATTTCTTAAGAATCTTACTACATAGTTATATAAAATTTAATTACATAAATAAAAAATACATTACTCAGAAAACAAATACTTTGAAGCAAAACAACTACCTGCAGGCTTTCAATTTGCATAACACAGTATTTCTTAAGAACCTTACAATGATATTGTAAAATTTAACTGAAATAAAAAATATGCTACATAGAAAATAATTATTTGAAACATTATTGAACAATTATTTGAACAAAACCATCTGAAGACTGCATAACACAGCATTTCTTAACACTTTACCGACCGATCGGCTATTAATCGGCTTTTTATCACCAATGCCTACCGACCAATAATCTATTAATCGGCTTTTTATCGTTGACTTCTACCAACCGATAGCCTATTAATCGGCTTTTTTTCGCCAACGCCTACTGACCAATAGCCTATTAAGCGCTTTTTCCTTTGGGCTACCAAAAAATATCGGTAGCCATGGCGATAAACAATTGCCATTTGCTATATCATCTGCATTTTGTTATTAGTATTGAGGTACATTGCTCACTTGCGTTAAGTGTGTTGCTTTTGATAAACTCTCACATTTTCACATCATTTAAAAAAAAATTACCGTTCACGATGAGCGAAAAAAATGGTACTGGAGAGTTTTATTTAGATGATTATATCAAATTGTCCTGACAGGTCCGTAAAGTGTTAAGAATCTGAATTTAATATCACAGACAGTTATCAAATAAGGATTGCAAAGTTAAACACATGAAAATAAAAGTTAGTTAACGATATGATACATATACTATAATAAATCATCAAAAAATATCATTATCACACTATTTGACTCTTGCTTTCACATGCAACTCACAGTGGTAGAACTGATTCAATAAGAAAACAGTTTTCTCAAGAGGTGAAAAACTTTACTGTTCAGTGCACTCGTTCTTTTTACTCTCACAGCAAAATGGAATGCTCATGTGCTGAACTTATAACATTACACTAGATGCAATGATTCATTTTTGAGTTCCCAGGGAACCAGCTTAGCCTGATGGTGCATTCCTGAACATCTGCCACTTACTGGAATCACTCGAAAAATCTAAGCTTAACTGCCCACATGCATATAGAATAGATTAAATTCACTATCTTTACATTAGTATGACATTTTTTGTAAAATTTAGATGTACAATAAAAAATAAATTACTTTGAAATAGCTGTTTTGAAACAAAATATCTCGATTCATATTAAATTTACCTTTGTCATAATAACCACTCATTATAATGTTTTTTACCTTAAATCATTAAAACTAGTATCAACTGTAATATGCTATACAAAAAAGCAATTTAATCTTCAAAATCGGTTAAACAAATACTAATTTTATTGAATTTCAGTACCATTTACAATATCTAATTATTCATACTTACCAACTCTTAAAAATAGAACAGCACTGAACATTGATAAAGAAACAGGAACAAATACTCCAGGAAATGTAGTAAGACTCCTCAGACTCGTACTATTACTTGTATTGTTTGTAGTTATACTTTGTGACTCCGAACTGTTGTCATTGAAACTGCATAGGAGACGAACATTTCTCAGTAATGGAGTTTTATCATTCAATCTCTTTTTAGGGGCAATACTGATCTGGGAACCATCACCTGGATCTGGTTCAGATACTGAGTTGACTGATTGTTCCATTTCCTTACCTAAAAATTCAAACAAATATTACAAGGGTGGTGGAAATCAAAATTAAAATAATAATAATATGAAAATGTAAGAAAAATATCTTACACAATAACAGAGTTACAGCAAATGGATTTTTTTCCCTACAGAAATCTTTTATTATTCATCTATGCTACCATATAAACATGATTATGTTTAGGTTTATATAGTTAATACGTATTTTCTAAGTTACTGAATTTGACAATTTGAAAAATTACAAGCTTAATCTTAAAATGTGGGACATAAATTGGTTTGAAGATAGTTGTACCTCATTTATATGCATTTGGTTTACAACAGCTATTTGCTTTATTTATTGTTGATGTTATCAAAGTGTGCACAGTTCCAATTTTGTGTTGTTCTCTAAAAACAGATTCATGTGTACATGCAAAGAGTTACAGCTACAAAGATTGAAGAAGGTACTTTCTTGGAAAATGCACAAGTTTTATTGCTGATGTTTTGCTTTTTTAATTTTATGACTTTTTCTTTTATGGAATTCTTAGAATGTTACCATTTTGAAAATGGCTGTATTCTTAAATGGCAAAATATTACGCCATTCATGTATTTGTGAATGTTTTACAATACTGGCAATGAATTCGCAACTTTCAATGGGGGTTACCAATAATCAGAAAGTACCAAGAAATTTACAATAGTACACCCTTCAAAATACATATCACTTCAAAATAAAATTGAAAAATTAAGAATTATACTGGAATGAAATTTTTTTAAAATTAATAGTGTACTGTCAGTATTGACATATTAATGGTATAAGATGGATAAAATACTATTTTGCAAGAGAAACAAGGTTCCAGCCATTTTTTTTCAAAATGGGCTATTTATTTATGGTATATTCTTTAAAATATGAAATTTTATTATTAAAAAAATCTTACTTTTTATAATTCTCTTAATCTTTTGAAAAATTGCCCATTCCTCATCAACAATTCAGAAAAAAGTTAAAATTTTCTTGGACCATTTTTCATTTCCCTGACCTTTTAGGATTTTCTAGCTGATTAGAAAATTTAGCTAGCAGTTATTGATTTTCTGTTTCTAAATTAACAAAAGTAATTTGATAGAATTCCACAGATATAAATTATGTATTTTTCTTTTTGATCACAAGGAACAGATACTTTTACATTTAAAGAATTAAATATACTCATTAAAAGAAATTTTCTTCTAGAAATTGTATAGTGAAATCTACCCCTAAAGGAAGTTTTACTTTTAGACAATAATTTGCATTAATATATGCTATCTTTTACCACACTTAAAATTTCTAAATATAAAGAGAAAATTAAACTATTTTAACATTTTTTTTTAGTCTAATTTTCTTGTCTCAAGTTCCTTTTTCATTAAGAGTAAATTAGATTTACATATACGTATTAACAGAAACAGAATAACTAGGAATGCTTAACATAAATTTAAAATAATAGTATAACAGGTACAAAACAGCTATGAAAAGTGACATGAATACAAAGAATTAAGAGATAAAAGCTTATCCACTGGGGTTGTACTTGCAATACAATATTTGATAGTTAAGCTCACATGACTCAGTTAAAACTGATATGATGTCTCCAATTTCATAACAACCATATTTGTTTGAAGCAGTAAGAAGGCTGCTTACAGGAAAGAATGCATTCATGGGAGAATTTCTAAGTGAAACTACTTAATATTCCAATCTGTCCAATTGACTGGATCTGAACCTTGATCAAATTACTTGTTTATCTGAATGTTTCTAAATGTTATGTAAACAAAAATATTACCTAACATTTTCCCTATTTTATGTATATTTGTGACATTATTGAAAGTCACAGTTCAGCAACACTGAAAAGTTTTATTTCAAGAAATCTCATCATCATTATGTGGTGACAATTAACTTTAAGTTTGAGGCACAATTAACTCTAAGGATATAAAGTATTTTCTCTCTCCTTACTGTATGCCTTAATGATGTAAAAGGAAATCATGTTTAATTTGGAATTGGAAAGTACAGAAACTGAGTCACTAGTGCAATGCTAATTTTTCATATTTCCTGCTTTGGTAAACCTAATGACTCTACAAGAATATCAATAAAGATTCTAAAAGTAATCAGTAACATGAAAAAATGAAAATACTTTTTAAAAATAGCAGAAAGATACATTATCAACTCAGCATATGAAATCCAAGCCATATCACACTGATTTAAAAAACTTGATTTAAATAATCTGTGCTTGCATTGAGAGAATAATCATTTATCTCAGGATTATCAAATAAATCCAAATAATCTGAAATGAAAATTGTACAAATCAACTTGACATATGAAAAAATGCCAATCAAAACATTATTTGACCCTCTGAGTGGCCAGCGTTTTCACCAAGAAAGCACAATTTTCCCAAAACTACTATGAGAACAAATTATTTTTTTGAGTTTAATGTAAAAACTCTCCTGGTATTTCATACCGAGATTTGTTTTCTTTTGATATATTGCCTTAATTTCTTTGACATATTTTAATATGCCCGTATATATACGTTCTTATAGATATTAAAAAAAATATTCAAGGCCGTATATATACGGCCTTGCCGCTTAGAGGGTTAATGCTAAAATAACAAACAGTCCTAAAGCTCCAACTAATCAGAGCAAAACATATGAAAATATTTCTGGAATTATGATCATCAACATTTGTGACAGTTGTATTTCAGATTCCACTGCTGATGTTAGGAACTCGACTGGGATAGTAGCGATACTGACTGCTATATTGAAAAGCCCAGGTTTGAATAAAACAGAAGGTATGGATGTTTGTAATATACAGTGTTCGTAAGGCATAGGGGCACTCCAAATATGTGGTGAGCTGAAAGTTCTCTCGAACGTTGGTGGTAGGCTGAGAGGGGTGGAAGACTTTAGGACCCTTCCCACAAGGTGCTCCTCATCCAAATTGGGGGTGGAACTGAGCAAAGTCATATTGTCACCTACTATATGGTGCTCAAGGCTCTTGTCAACGACAGGTACAATCTTGCACTCCTTGCCATGATAATTTCGTGGGCTTGTCCTGATGTTACTGTCAGATGAGTGAGATAAGTCCCATAGTGTTTTACACAACTTGATAAGTTATATATAATCTGAGAAAATATAAGATTCCTTATGAACAATTTATGTTCCTCCTTTTTTCCTTTAAAAAAAACATCTGAAATAAACATGTAATAATTAATGCTCTCAATTCTACAGGAAAACTGTACTCGAAAGTTTGAGGCTGTGATATTGCGTTAAGGTTACAGCAAGTTTTCTACATGGCTCACACTTTAAAATTTAAATGGCATATTTCTTGGCTACAGAATAGCTGAAACTGAACCTACCAAACTTGCAGACACAATGCAAAACTAGAAAAATTCTTAGTTAATGTTATGTGAATAGTTTAATATGAATTAATATAAATGATATTATATTACACTCTTAAGTACACTACATAAATTTTCAAATATTAAATATTATACTAGAATATTATGTCCTCCCCTCCCCAGGGATATGATCTATGATGACAAGTATTGATTTTAAATGCAGAAAATTGTCTTTTTTTATCCTATATGAATATGTACATTCTTATTCCTTGCGATTCATACACGCACCACGCAGAACACAAAACAATAGTCAAAGAAAGTAAAAAATTAAAAAGTAAACAAATTTTTCATCTGCTTGGATATGAAGTGATTTCTTAATAGTATCAATATTACGATATAAATATTTTCTTACCTTAATTGACGTTCCCTGAATTACAATTTCAAGATTTTAAGGATGAATGTAATGATTAGACAAACATTTTAATACACGTCAGTAAATAATTAATTTTTTTTTCTAATCAAATTGGACTGAACATGCTTCCATAAGAAGATTTGAACGAATGAATGAATCTTAAATGAATTTTAGCTGTTCCACGATTTGGCATTTTAAAGCCAGTGATGATCGCTAAGCTAGACAGATAAATATATATAGATAAGAAAATATTTTAAAAGGAAAATAAAACACAGTTATGTAACTTACTTCTTATTATCAGTCTTGAAAAAGAATGATAATCAAAGCTTATCAAACAGAAATATTACAGGTTAACAAACAAGGCAAAATGTTACTGCAAAAAAATCTGGATTGAAGATACAGTTATTATTACAGAATTCGGTGAATCACAACATAATTGCCAAACATACTATTTATTCTATGCTTGAGTCACACATATCAAGAAATTTAACAAAATTATTCACAACGTTTCACCACCTGCATCGATTATAAACAAACAGGTGTACGGCCCACATATTCAGAGGAAGTGAATCTCATAGACAGAGGAAGTACACAAAAATACAATAATTAGGTAGCGATTGAAACACGCCCATTATGTAAGTAGTACTATCTAGTTATAAACTGTAGTGAAAAAGTAAGAAATATAGATCACGTTCTTTTCCTTTTCTTTTAAAATAGTTTTGATTTTATAACTATTTAGTTTTGTGTATCAGAGCTTTGGCAACAGGTGATTTTCGTTTTTACGAGGGCAATCCCAAAAAAAAAGGTCTCCTATATTTTTAGATATACAAAGAACCGTTTATTTTCTATAATTGCTACATCACTTTAAAGATTGAAGAATGCTTTATTTTTCAACATAATCGCCATTTCGGTCGATGCATTTTTGTAGACGCTGTGGCAGTTTTACAATGCTCATGTCTACCAGCTTGCCTCCATGCCCTTCAGGAAGCGTTGAACCTCATCATCGGAGCAGAACCGCCGTCCAGACAAATGTTCCTTCAACTTAGGGAACAGGTGGAAATCGCTGGGTCTCAATTCCAGACTGTAGGGTGGGTGTGTGATGATGTTCCAGCCAAAATTTTGCAGGAGATCGACGGTTTGACGGGCAACGTGAGGACGGGCGTTGTCGTGGAGAATGCTTACACCCTTGCTCAACATCCCTCTTCTCCGGTTCTGAATTGCCCTTCTGAGTTTCTTCAGTGTTTCACAGTATTTGTCAGGGTTGACTATTGTCCCAGCAGGCAGAAAGTCGACCAACAGTACCCCCTTCCTGTCCCAAAACACAGTTGCCATGACTTTACCAGCAGATCGTGTTTGCTTGAATTTTCGTGGCTTAGGCGAAGAGTGATGCCGCCACTCGCGTGACTGTTGTTTTGTCTCAGGTGTAACGTGGAATGCCCAGGTTTCGTCACATGTGACAATTGAGTCCAAGAAGTTGTCCTTTTCGTCTCCATAGCGGCGAAGAAATTCGTGGGAAGAATCAACCCGTTGCCGTTTGTGGTCTTCTGTCAGCATGCGCGGCACCCATCATGCACACACCTTCCGATATTGCAACTTTTTCGTTAAAATCCTGTGGATGGTGCTTCTGGAAACCTCAGGAACCAAAATGCAGAGAGCATCCAGAGTGATCCTCCGATCTTTACGCATGAGTTCCTCAACTTTTGCGATTGTCTCGTCGGTAATTGACGGTGAACAATATTTTGACTCTAATATTTTTGTTTATATTCTTTCTAACTGCAGCTTCTGAGTAATATTGCACGAGCTTCAAGCAGACGTAATCGTTTTCTTTACTCTATAGGTATTTTTATTCATTATATATTCATATTATTATTATCTATGTTTTGTAACAGTTTATGTTTCAGAGAATGGCAACATACATTGATGTTGTTCTTTTTAGAGAGTTAAGTGTAACTTTTGTTTTCATCATTTGAGAGTATGAGTAAAGAAATTATTTAATTATTGTAGAGTCATAAATAACTAAAGAGATATAGATAGTTATTTCCGAGTAATAAATAGTTCTTGAGGTAACAAATTTGGTGAGAATTTTTGAACATTTGGCGTCCGCTGACTGGACTGTTATCTGTAAGTAGAATTCTTTCGTTTATTAATAATGGATGTTTTGAAGTGCAAACGATCTCAATTTAGGAGATTGTTTACAAAAGCTTTAAATGATTTTGAGAAGAATGAAAATGATTTATCTTTAGACGGAAAAATTTCGAAACTTAAATTAGTTGAGGACAAAGCGAAACCTATGATTGAAATAGAACAGACTTATAGAGAAGAATTCATTAAAATTGGAAAGATGAAACTGTGATAAATAATGAGTTTGATGAGTCAGAATGCTATATTGATCAGTGGAGAATGGTAGAAAGCAAATTAGTTTCGCTTCTAGCTGAAAAGGAAAACGGTTCTGTTGTTAATGAAAGCTTAACTAAAAATGCTACTATACGTTATCCTAAGCTTAAACTTCCGAATTTCGATGGGAATATTAAAAGCTGGTTAGGATTTTGGAGCCAGTTTAAAAAGATCGATAATGATCCCAATTTAGATGATCATGATAAATATGCATATTTATTGCAGTCTATGGAAAAAGGGTCATCTGCTGAAAAGTTAATCAAAAGCTTTCCGCCCGGTGGCGAAAGTGATAGTAAAGCTTTAGAACAACTACAATCGCGTTTTGGGAAAGAAGACCTTCTTATAGAAGTCTATGTTAGAGATCTACTTTCGTTAGTATTATTAAAAAACTCTCAGCAGAAATTATCATTACGAAAACTCTATGATAACTTAGAATCGAAACTAAGAGCGTTAGAAGTTCTGGGTGTTGCTAGAGATAAATATGCGGGAATGTTATATCCTCTAGTCGAATCGTCATTGCCGGATGATACATTAAGAGCATGGCAAAGATTCCGAGTTATTAATCGCAGTCAGAGAGAATCTGAAAGTAGTGAGCAAAAAGAGAAAAATGCGTCAACACATCGCATGGATTTAAATGGTTTGCTTTCATTTTTGCTCGATGAAATTGAAGGTGAAGAGAGAGCGTATCTATAGCTACTCAGTGTTTTACTAAACATCAGACACCCTAAGCCTGGGAATGCTAAACACTTTGGTTTCAAAAACCGTGGAAGAATTTTCCAAAAACTTCTTCTGCTTCTACTCTAATAGCAACATCTGAACAAAATTCAACTGATGATGTATTTTTTGTGCTGGAAATCATGCATCTGGTGATTGCTTTAAAGCAAGAAAGATGACGTCTGAGGAAAGGCAAAAAGCAGTTCTAAATAGTCGCAGTTAGTTGCTTTTTATGTTTAGACAGAAAACATGTAATAGCTAAATGTAAAAAAAAAACGAACATCGTGTGTGATTTGTGGGAAGAAACACCACATACTTTTATGTAGAAATATCCAAGCTGAATCAAAATCTCCAGTTCCTGTTAGCACGAATAAGGATGAAAATACGGATGCAGTACCTGAACGAGATGAAACCCTCGCCAATTTGGCGAGAACAACAAATGTGTTTTTGCAAACTTTAACGGTTACATTGAAAGGGCGAGATAGAAAGCGCCAGGCCCGTGCTATTATCGATTCAGCTTCACAAGAGATCTTATATTTAAAAAAGCAGATGAAACTGCATTTGTGTGTGTGTGATTATGAAATGAAATCTGAAATGAAATTTGAGAGTACATCTAAAGAAAGATTGAGCCATTCATTATTTGGCGGGTCATGTACTGATGTCATAAACCACGATGTTTTTACCAGTGTTCTTGTCTAAAACGGATGGAACTTATCATTGTAACTTCAAAGCTCTTAGCCAAGATATTTATTTGTGGAAGTATACCACAGTTGCTAATGGCGAGTGGATTCGAGAGCTTAAAGAGAACAATATATCCGTATGCGACGATAGTAATGGACCAATAGAAATACTTATTGGCGCTGACATTGCAGGCAAGTTGATGACCGGAGGCATATAAGCAAAATGTACACTGCTAGGACAACGGCTTGAATTTGGCCAATGACAGTTCAGATGAGGGTCCCATTAACTCCGCCCACATGAGTGACGTCATATTTCTGACGTTTGTTTACATTCTACTGTTCGGAGTTACGAAGTGCTTTTTTTGAATGTACATTTAGTTTTTCGGAATAAAAGTGTATATATATGCGTATATATCTGTATATAACGATTTAATGTTTGTTTCGGAATATTAAGGATGATTCTACTGTTCCAATACAAAATTAGGTCTAGTCAGATAGAAGTTACTGATGGCTGGAAGATACATGTAAAGTGTGGTTTACAAATTATTCTGCATATTGATAATCAGAAACTTTTAAGTGATAATGACTTAAATCATCTACTATATAAAATGTACCTGCGGGAATTAAACCAAGTGAATGAAGTTAATGTTAAGTTAGTGAATCCAAGTGCTACTTTGTGTCAGTAATTAATGCAGTAAATATTTTGAATCAAAATGCCACCAGTAACTATTGCAATGAATTGACATAGTGTGTGTCAAGAAATCCTTAAAATACATTTCATATATATCTATCTGAATATTTACAACATTAATTGTGCTTTGATTAAGAAATCAATATGCTTTACAGGATTCAATATGCTTTCTTAGAAATAAACTTCATTTCATTATTAGAATATTAGAACGTAAAGAGTATAAAAGATGAAAAAGTGTGTCCACTCTAATGAACATATTGAAATGTAATTTAGCTGTGAAACTACTGAAGTTAAATGATGAACATGTTATTTAATAAGAACTGAATATATTTAAGATATGCTACCAGCTCTGATATTTCAAGACTGTTGGATATGCTTATCTATGAAGATTAAATCACTATTAACTGACAAATTATGGTTCTGGTAAAGCATATATCATATTTGGAATCGTAGAAAGGAAGTTCATTATTTTTCTGAAATGTAAAGAAAATAATACTGAATAACTGTAAGTGCTTAGTGTTATAGACCTACTGAAATCTAATTTAGCTATAAAACTATGCTAAATGATGCTGAACTAATTTAGCTATAAAACTATGCTAAAAATGCTAAATGATGCTGAACAAAATTTAGCAAGAACTGAATTTAGTAAGATATGTTACCAGTAATGATATTTCAAGACTATCGAAAAATGCCTAACAATGAGGTATCGTTACCTGTTCTAAGGTGTAATGCTGAATTGAATAAGTATACTTTTATTTCCAGGAAACATACCTTCAAGTGAATTGCTTGAATTAATCAAATTCAATTTTAAAAAAATCATTATTAACTGACATTATAGTTCTGGTAAAGCATATATAATATTTGGAATTTTCATTGTTCAGTATGCATTCTTAGAAAGGAAGTTCATTGTTTTGTTGAAATGTTAAGAAAATAATAGTGAATAACTGTAAGTGCTTAGTGTAATAGACCTACTGAAATCTAATTTAGTTAGTTATAAAACTGCAAATGCTAAATGATGCTGAACATAATTTAACAAGAACTGAATTTAGAAAGATATGTTACCAGTTATGC